TCTGAATAGACATGGGATAGGGTTGCACTCTAAATTTAGCCACAGGCTCATAAATTGGATTAATTAATGAATCCTTCTCACATCCGCAGATATAAAAGTCAAAATTTACAACTAAGGTTATCTAGTGTCTCACACAAGCCTTGAGTTTTTTGCTGCTAATTTCTGATTCTTGGCAATAGACATTCATTTGCAAATGTTAAGTCACACTTTTCACAAGTTTGCAAAAAACAAATGGCAAAAACCATATGAAACATCAACAGAAAAACTACCATCAACACAGTGCAGCCAGCCAAATGTCAGCACTTTTTAAGATCAATTGACTTGAACAAGATCTTAACTTGGAACTTAAAAGTTCATTGGACTGTGTTCATGATTATAAAACAAACAAACAAACCCCCAAACCTATTCAGATGACATTATAAAAAGCAAAATTAAAAATATCTTTAAAAATTAGAAAATTATTGATGGTCTTAATGCAGAGTTGTAATTCCTCCTGGAGTTTTATTTAGAGCACTGTTTCCATCATGCTTTTATTTGCATCACATGAGGGGTCAACATCTACTCTTCTGTCACCTATGGCAAAATTAGAGAGAAAGTTTGATTTTTTAAAATTTATTTTTTACTAAACCTTTCCTCCCAAAGGATCCCAGAGTGACCAACCACAAAAGATAAAATGCTAAAAAACATTTCAAAAGCAATTTGAATACGGATGCAGACTGGGAAAGATCTCAGCTTCAATGGCTTGTTGAAAGAGGAAGGTATTTACTAGGTGCCAACAAGACAACAGAGATTATGCTTGTCTAATATTCAAGGGAGGGAATTCAGAGAGTCAATGCTACATTACAAAATGCCCGATTCTTGCATGTGTTGAATGGACATCCAAATAAGATGGTATCTGCAGGAGGCCCTTACCTGCAATGCCCAAGGATCAACTGGTTACATAAGGGGTGGGATGATCTTTCAGGTAACCTGGTCCTCAGCTGCAAAGTTAACCAAGCAAATTCTCTGTGCTGCAAGATTCCAGCACTTGCAAATCCCAGCAGATACAAAAAGTGATTACTTCCTTCTAAAAATCCATTCTTTTTTCCTTTTAGTTTATTTTTATTAGTTCTCAGATTATTATAGAACCACGAAAACAGATGAACAATAATGAAAAATTCATAATATATCCAACTAAAGGCTTGGCATTTGAAACCTAAACATATTAAATGATAACACCCAATCTTAGATCATGACATCCGTATTTCTCTAGATGGCATGGGGAGAAATACCTATAAATCTGAAACTAAATTATATGATGCAAAATCTGTCTTCACCCCTCCCTCGAAGGATCACATTTCAGCAGCATAAACTGCCTTTTGGTTTCTCAATGCCATTTGGTCACAGGCACAATCCCGAAATCTCAGGAGCTTACTATTTATTTCATGGGACTTAAACCACATGAGGCCACCGGGAGGAAAAACTGATGTTTGCAAATGGCTTGCTTATAGATCATAAAATATTTGCTGCTAAGTGAGAGATAGCCTGATGTCCTGGGTCTCCTGGCAGTCTCAGCCATTCGCTCTCCACTGTGGGACCACTTAAAGAAGTTTAACAGAAGGGCAGCTAGGGCTAAGTGTCTTCCGTGATGACAAATTACTAATACACGGTTACTGGCATTTACCAGCAGCAGAGTAACAATGTGATTCTTGTTAAATCCCATATAATTATGTTTTTAATGCAGGAAATGCCTAGTGATTATTTTCCACTTTAACGTTTCCAATTCTTTATCAATTGAATGTGGAGTTACATACACTAAAGAGACCATTAGCGCCACTTTTTACATTTCATTCTTGGCGTATCACACACCTAGGGCTTTTTTTTTTCCCCAGCTGGCGCTCACCGGAACTCAGTTCTGGCGCCTCTCAGGTGGGCACCATTGGCATTCTAAGAGAACAAGGGGAGATGTTCATGGAGTGCTGGCACCTCTTTTTCTAGGAAAAAAAGGCACTGCACACACACACACACACACACACACACACACACCATTAAGAGTCATGCATCCACCATACCCTCTTGTCTGTCACCCAACACTCTTTGGGTATGAACTCCAAGTAAATTAAAAAAAACAACAACCCAGCAACACTGTATAAACTTTCCCCCTTTTCCCTTTGTGCCCACCTTTGATAAAATGGGTGTCCCACGTGACCTCACTGTGCTGGCGACAAAGTGGGAGTGGGCCCTAGCCCACAAAAGCTGCATGCGGCAATAACATGTATTAGCTTTGAAGATACCATAAGACAGGTATGGGGGACCTTTTACATCCTGGGGACTGCATTCCCTCAAGGACAGCCTTCCTGGGCCCACATGGAAGGAGCCAGAGGCAAAAGGTGGGTGGAACAAGGTATGTGACTCTTACCTATGTACAACAGTCTACGTTTTGGCCATGCAAAAGTCAGAGGTTGCTACACATACACACCCCTGCACACACATCTCTTCATCCTTTTTCCAAGCAAGCAAGAGCCTTGGTCACATTTCAATGGCATCTTCCAGCCAGGCAAAGGCATGTGAGGTGGTCTGGAGTGGGGCCGTGGAGGGGTGTGGCTTGGGGAGAGCTCTGAAGGACACACAGAGAGGACCAGAGATCTGCATTTGACCCCTGAGCCCAAGGTTCAAGCAAGTGGGTGAGCTGCCATAGGACAAGGATGGAAGACCTGAGGCCCTCCAAATGTTGTTGGTCTCCAGCTCCCATCAGCCCCAGCCAGTATGGCCAATGGTGAGGGATGATGGCTCCAGCAACATCTGGAAGGCAGCAGGGTCACGATCCTTGCCGTAGGAGGCCCTGAGGGCTGAGTCTCTGTAATGGCTGATGATAGAGTGAAGCATTGCCTCTAGCTATTCGCGGTTGGAGCTAAGACCCCACTTGGTAGCTTGTTCTTGTGGTTGCTTTGATTTTCCTTTCCCTGTTCATCAATAAGCAGCCTCTTGTTTTGGGCCTGCAAAGTGAGTAACTTATACTAAATAAGAGTCTTACTGAGAAGTTGGGAATAAAGCAGGGAACGTGTTAGGAATTACTGGAGGCAGGGTGCGTGCGAGGTGGGAATTCGATAATTCCTGCAAGGAGAGTTACGGTAATATTTCACTTGGGAGTCGGACACCCACATGTTCAGGAGTGGCTCTTTAAAATGATCAACTACTCAGTGCTTTAAAATGGGTGATGATCTCTTGGCTGTTTGTTGTATTTTATCGAGAGTTTTATTGTAAGCCACTTAAAAGCTTGCACTCAAGCAGAACATAAAATGTTGTTAAATACAAGAGAGACTTACAAGGCCTGCTGATTTTCCAAGCTATCACATTTTCACACCCCTTAACGGAATAGTGGAGAATACCCAAACAACCTAGTTGCCACTTGTGCACATATAATTCCATATACACTAATACATTGTGCTCCCCCGGACTACATTTAGTATTTTTGTTGGAACACATGCTGCTACCAGTTGGTGTTATACATACAGATGACTATTATTGAATAGCTTGCCTAGTGGAGACTGCAGTTATTATGTAATTCCCTAGCAGAATGGATTCATCACTGAGGAAGGAAGCTGACACAGGGCAATCCAAGCTCCCTATTAATACTGTCTGAAACCACCACACACACACACCCCGCAAAATGATTTTTTATTACATCTATTTTTCACCACTACCATTTTATCCTCACAATAACCCTGTAAGGTAGGTTAGGCTGAGAGAAAGTGACTGGCCCAAGGTCACCCAGTGAGCTGAGTGGGGATCTGGACCCTTGTCTCCCAAGATCCTAGTCCAACCATCTACAGGCTCTCCATTGTGGGATGACATCTATGCTGCCATACTTCGTGAATAACAACGTGGGTTTCTCTCTGATCTGACCAAGAGCTCCTGGTCTTACCTTTGTGGCATGAAAAGGATCTGTATTGCACAGAGTGTCATATCACACGAAGGTATCAGAAGAGGTAATCCCATTTTAAATTTCAATTCCTACCAATTCCACCCTTAGTCTAACCACCCAAAAGTATCAGCCAATGAGAAATTGATTTTGTTTTTTGGCAATACGGCTTCTTCAGCTGCTGTTTCCTCCTGGTTTATGCCCTTTTCCTCCCAATCCAGTTTCATAATTAAACTCCGTGGTGGGATAGGTACTACCCCACCTGTGCAGATGGTGGGGGTGGGGCTGGGTAGGCAGGAGTGTCAAGGTGGATAAGGCTCTGCTATCTTTATTCCCAGATTCTTTTGCAACACAAATTGCTACATATACTGTCGGATGTCAGAACCACTCGGCCCTGAGCTTCTGAGTTTGCATGACAAGGAATGGCAGGATTCACTATTTCTCATTATAATCCAGTTTGTAACTTGTAACAATGCAATGAATATTAATAGTGTTTTTTGCTGACGATCTAACTTGAATGCCAAGCAGCTTTGGCTGGATTTCTGAGCAGGTGCTGCATTTGACTTAGAGTCAAGCAATCAGGTTAGAGTCTTGGGAGGAAGGACGTTACGGACAACATAGGGGAGAGACTTGCCACAACCCCAGAAAGCACAGCTGCCTGTATGAGCCTACCAGCCTGTTAAGATTATCTTTCAGGGCTCTGCTCCAGGGTTCATCTAGTAAGAAACTTAGGCTGACTGTATGATGCAAAGCAGAGACTCCTTGGTGGTTGCCCCAGTCCTCTGGAACACCCTTTCTCCAGAGGTATTTTTCTCCCTCTCTCATAATGCTAGAACTGTGCTGAATGTTGGATGGTGCACAAAAGAAAGAAGAATTCCATTGTGGAATTCGCTCCTACAAGAAGGATGGATTGCTTTAAAAGCGTTTTAGACAAATTCACGGTGGCATAGGCTATCAATGGGTACTAGCTATGGTGGTTACACTCTACCTCCACAAATCTGTTGATATGCAATGGTCTTTGGATAGCTGGAGGAAAATCATGCTGGGCTTCAATAGTAATAATTGTTTTATTATTTGTTGGTTTTGATAGAAGAGTCTAATGACTGAAAATTGGGTAAGGCAGTGTATAAGTGTTTAAAAATAACTGAAGAAGCTGGAATTCAGTAGTGTAGAGCTATGCTACAATAAAATAGCCCTTGAGCAATCTAATAATAATAATAATAATAATAATAATAATAATAATAATATAATTTATTTATTATAACCCACCCATCTGGCTGGGTTTCCCCAGCCACTCTGGGCAGCTCCCAACAGAATATTAAAAACACAATAAAACATCAAACATTAAAAACTGCCCCCTGTCCCCCCAAAACAGTACTTCGGTCTTGTCAGGATTCAGCCTCAGTCTGTTAGTCACCATCCATCCTCCAACTGCCTTCAGGCACTCACACAGGACATTCACTGCCTTCACTGGTTCTGATTTCAAAGAGAGGTAGAGCTGAGTGTCATCTGCATACTGATGAACACCCAGCCCAAACCCCCTGATGATCTCTCCCAGTGGCTGCATATAGATATTAAAAAGCATGGGGGAGAGGACGGAACCCTGAGGCACCCCACAAGTGAGAGCCCAGGGGTCTGAACACTCATCCCTCAACACCACTTTCTGGACACGGCCCAGGAGAAAGGAGCGGAACCACCATATAACAGTGCCTCCAGCTCCCAGCCCCTTTAGACAGTCCAGAAGGATGTTATGGTCAATGGTATCAAAGGCCACTGAGAGATCCAGCAGAACTAGGAAACAGCTCTCACCTTTGTCCCTAGCCCGCCGGAGATCATCAACCAGCGCGACCAAGGCAGTTTCAGTCATGTGTGCAAAGAAATATTCAGCTCTCCACATGCCTAGTGCCAAGAGGTGGCCTCATCTCCATGTGGTTAGAGGGGGAAATCTGAGGTGGGACCATGTAGGAAGCAGTTGGCTGTTTTCTACCCTTGGGGTGTGGGAAGGAATGCATCTCCATGTTCACGCAGGCCTGCCTGTGCTCCACTGCCTTTGGACGGGGGCAGCAAAAACCAGCTTTTGATCCTATTTCTCTTTCTTTCTCTTTGTTCCCAGGGTGAGTTGCTTAGTCCGTGTCGGTGCGACGGGTCAGTGAAATGTACACATCAGCCTTGTCTGATCAAATGGATCAGTGAGAGGGGATGCTGGAGCTGCGAGCTGTGTTATTACAAGTATCACGTCATTGCCATAAGCACAAAGAACCCCCTGCAGGTAAAGGTACTAGAGATTATTTCAAAGTCCTTTCTTCCATTGTTTTGCCTTTTTTTAATGCTTTCCTCTCATCCAGTGTGCGTGTGTGTGTGTGTGTGTGTGTGTGTGTGTGTGTGTGGCGTTATTCATTGTATCATACCTTGCACAGTGAATGACAGAATTGCTCTTTCCCATTTTATTTATTATTTTGAAAGCTCTGCAAAGATGTTTATGAACGTTTAATAATATAATCAGATTTTTAAACACACGCACACACAAAACTACTACTACTACAACAACAACAACAACAACAACAACTCATCTTTTTATTTGTTCAGCCTTGGTCATCAAACCAAAAAAGTCTCCTATTATGTCCAGAAGATTCTCAGAATCAAGCTAAGACGAGGCTTCAGTAACATCCGCACAGCCCACAGGCGGAATTATAATGTCAGCTGCCTTTTCTCCAGCTCCAGGATCTATCTTCCTTTTTCGTTTTCAGCTGGCACAGTTTGCACAGCCTTTTCTTAAATACTGCCAGCGGCTCGCTTGAGAGATGGCACTGGATGTATGTTTCACTTACTGTCACAATGCATTATGGGTTTCCTGGGCTTGCCATTCTTGTGCTATTCTTATTTTGATGTATAGCAACATTCGCTGGTGGCGTCCAGCCGTCTGCTGGGTCAGAAGCTCTTTCGCCAGCACAAGGGCACCTGTTGAATTCCACTCAATGTTCCTAAGAGGCCATCATCCCTCTAAGTCCCAAAACATGTCGGTTCGATATTAGAGCCCTTTAGCACTGTGGAGGCATCGCTCTTACACAATTAGCTGAAACAGGAATTAAAATGGAAACTGCACACAGGCATTTAAAAGAGTCCTTTTGTAAAGAAACCAGCCCTGGACCCATTGCACTGGAAAAATTACTGACCAGTCACAGGTACCACCGTCTTGGGGAAGCTTGGGGCAACTGCAAGCATTCTTGGATGATGCAGGTTATTTAGATCCATTCCAATCTGGGTTCAGGCTTGGTTACCTCACTGCAAGAAGTGAGGGGAACCAGGCAGAGGGCCTTCTTGGTAGTGGCACCCGCCCTGTGGAACGCCCTCCCATCAGATGTCAAGGAAATAAACAACTTTTAGAAGACATCTGAAGGCAACCCTGTATAGGTGTCAGGGACTGGACTGGGAAGGAATGGTGGAGACCACACACACCCTACAATTCCCAGAGAAGTGTGAGACAGTATGAGTGCACACTATGCACAATTCAGGGACACGTGGAAACAAAATGACTGGATTGTGGGCAAAGCAGCTTTTCTTCCCTGGGTGTAAGACTTCAAGCACTCTGATTTAAAATTAGTATGTGCTTTAAGGGGGGGGGAAGTATCTCGCTCTTATCATTAAAAAACCAGATCAGGTTGCTCTTGATTTGAATACAGCATAGCTTCAGAAATAAAGACCAGATAGAAATTAACCACAATGGCAGTCAGTACCCAACAATGTCAAATGAGCTGGCAGGGAAGAAAATGAAGATGAAATGGTTCCCTTTTATGAGTTCATTTCTTTACTGTGTTCTCAAAACAATATCAGTGCAGCCTACCGGTGCTACCGAATATTTGTTTTATGCTAGGCTCTGACATTAAAAAACAAATAGAATATGCTATGTATTCTGGTCACATCCACTTAGGGTAAAACAAGTGTGTGTGTGTGTGTGTGTGTGTGTGTGTGTGTGTGTGTGTTAGTATACTGCACCCACGTAGATATTCCAATACCGTTCATGAATCTGAGAGGCACAGTTTCGTTCATGTCTCAACAAAGTGATGTGCCGCAGTTGGAGTGTTGGACTAAGGTGTAGGAGACATGGGTTCAAATGCCCATGAAGCTCAGCAGGTGACCTTGGGCCAGTCACTTCCTCTCAGTTTAACCTCCTTCATGGGGTTGTTGTGAGGAGAAAATGGGGGAGAGGAAGAACCGCGTATGCCACCTTGAGGTCCTTGGCGGAAAGGTGGGCTATAAATATTATAATAATATTCCAAGTATTTGAACAAATTACTAAAATCTTACCTGCATCCTACATGGCTGGAGTTTTTTCAGGCTTGGTATGTGTTTGATTTCACACCAATCAGCTGGCAGGTAGCTCACTGAAAACCATCATTCAAGTGGCAGAGGAGCTGTGTGTCTCTTGCACTGCCCTATTCAATTTATAACAAATAGTCCTATTCAGGCATTCAAAAGAATGTGTGAGGGCTTAAACTGGTGAGGGAGAAGAGGCCTGTGTGCACCACTGCTGACTCTCTTCTGTTGACTACTCAGAAGGTCTGAAGGGGACTTCTAAATGCTTTGGGCTGAATGTCTTTACTGTTGGGATACTGCCAGGGAGATAAAGTCCATCATGGCCCCCAAGCCGGCTGCCGGACGATCCATCGACCTCCCGTAGTCACGCAGTATCAATAATTAGCGACATGAGTTTCTAGAAGATTTCTTGCCACATTCCAGAGCTCATGCACGCTCTATCGGCAGATAATGCACAGCAAAAGTTGCACCCAGGAGAGCATTATTTACAAGTTTATTCAGCGTTGATCAGAACACAGAAAAACATGACCGACTGCTTTAGTGTCTGCGACACCAGAGAGAAAACGAAAGCAACAGAAAACATAAACATCCTGTGAACAGGAAATACGCAGACTCTGACTCACAAAGCCTGCTCCCTTTTAAGGTGGAACGGAAATATCCTAACATCCTCCCCTTTCCGTGTAACCTGTAGTACCTGTGGTTCAACCCAATTGCAACCTTTGTACGTAAACCTTAAGTTGTTCTCTGTTAACAACCTTAGACAACAGATCAGCAGGAATTTCATTTCCTGCCATGTAGGACACCTGAATGAGTCCTTTCTGAATACACTCTCTTGCACGATGTAGCTTAATCTGCAAGTACTTGGTCCTTTGCTTGCAACTCTCTGAGTTCAGCAAAGCCAAACACGATCTATTGTCTTGATACACTTGTACAGGACATTTCACAGAAACTCTGATGTCCTTAAACAGTTGCATCAACCATTCACAATCCATGAGTGAAAATGACAGAGCATTGAGTTCTGCTTCACAGGAACTTAGGCTCACTGTCGTCTGCTTCTTGCACAGCCAGTCAAACAGACAGTGGTTGTACATGTAGCATACTCCAGAAGTGCTTGTACCGTCCGTGGTGTCACTTCCAAAACTTGCATCTGCAAAGATTTCAAGACCTCCAGTCTTCTGACTCGTGAACCTCAGCCTGTAGTGCAAAGTCCCTTTCAAATAGCGGGCTATGCGCTTCAGAGCTTTCCAATCCTGAACAGTAGGATTGTTGGCATGTCTGCTAAGCAGGTTAGTGCTTACAGCTATGTCAGGTCTTGAGCATCTAGCAATGAAATTCAACTTGCCTAGAATGCATCTGTACAGCGTTGTGTCAGAAAACGCTTCAGCAGTACTATCTACCTGGTAACCTGTCACCATCGGTGTGTCTGCTGGGTTTGCATCAACCAAATTCAACCTGGTTAATACATCAGCAATTTTCTGTGTTTGGTGTACCAGAAAATTACCTGCTTGGTCCCTCTCCACCTGCAGAGAAAGATAGTTGGATACCTCACCAAGATCCTTCATGTCAAAGTGCTCCTTCAGCTGAGCTAGGGTGCTTTGGTACAAAGCCTGATTCTTCCAAAACATCAGAAGATCATCAACAAAACATAAACAATACAGTTTGTTTTGCCCCTCCTCCTTGACAAACACACATGGATCAGCTTTGCCCTGGTGAAAACCTAGAGAAAGCAATGTCTCAGTGAGCTTTGTGTTCCAACACCTGGCACTCTGCTTGAGACCATATAAGGATTTCCGCAGTTTACAGACCATTCCCTTCTGTATCTGCATCCCATCAGGTGGAAGCATAAACAGCTCCTCCCCCAGATCCCCATACAAAAAAGCTGTATTAATGTCATGATGGGAAACATGCAGTTTCTCCTCTGCAGCTATCTTGAGCATCAGCCGAATGCTCTCATATTTGACGGTGGGTGAGTAGGTCTCGTGGTAATCCTGTCCTGGTACCTGTGAAAAACCTCTGGCAACCAATCTGGCTTTGTGTCTGACAACCTTGCCATTCTGGTCTGTCTTGGCCTTGAAGACCCATTTGCTGCCAACCAGTCTCATCCCTGGGACTACCGGTACCAGTTCCCAAGTTTGGTTCCTGTTCAAGGAATCAACTTCAGCCTTCATGGCATTAAGCCAAGGCTCAGCATCTTTAGAGGTTAACTCCTGAACCTCTTTGAAGCTTGAAGGTTCCCACACCTTCTCTGAGCTACTAAGAACAGCAGTTGCTGTCTTAGCAAACTCATCAGCAAATCTCTTTGGAGGTCTGCCCTTTGTGGCTCTTTCAGATCTGCGTACTAGACGCAAGTCTTCTGGACTCATCTCCTCTTTCTTAGGAGAAAAGTGACCAATGGTGAACAGTGGTTCTTCCAGTTCATTGTCAGACGCATCAGATGGTCTGACTGAGGCCTTTGCGCTCTTGTAGTCTGCTGTGTCATCACTGTCACTGACACCAGCAGCAGCGCCGCTCACTGAACTGGAATCCGAACTCTGATCATCATCGTCATCATCATCCTCAGCAGCTTCCTCAGCTTTAGCTGCTTCTTTGACATCACCTTCATCCTCCTCTGGGTAACTCTGGAAAATTCCCACATTTTCCCCCCACTTAGGATTGTACTCAACACTCCTTGTGAACTTAATGGACTTAGAGTTGGTCATCCACACCCTGTATGCACCTTTTCGTACCCCATGAACAAACCATGTGCCCCACGCTTCCCAAGCTTGTTGCTCTGTGGGTGTGTACCCACATGTCAGAACCAAAGATTCTCATGTGCTTGATGTTGGGTTTCTTACCAAACATCTTCTCATAGGGGGTACAACCAATAGGTGATGACAATCTGCGATTAAAAGTGTAAACATACGAGTTCAAAGACTCCCCCCAAAACTTCTCAGGGAGATTGGCATCATGCAGCAATGTTTTCAGTCCTTGCAGCAACGTTTGCTTTGCTTGCTCACAAATCTCCCATGGAGATCCAGGACTTGAGAGGTTATGCTGGATTCCCTTCTCAGTCAGGAAAGCTTCAAACTGCTGAGAAGTGAACTCCCGCCTCGATCAGTAAACAGACAGCCAATGCGTTTACCGTGAACATTCTCCAACCAAGCACAGAATGCCTTGAACTTAGGAAACGCTTGCGATTTCTGCTCGAGCATAAACACATGAATGTACCTGGAAAAAGAATCAATTAGAACCATGAAGTACCTTGCTCCACCCAAAGAGGGCGCAAGTGGACCAACCAGGTCTGCGTGCACTAGCTGGTAGGGTTTGGAAGCCTGCCTGCTAGACTCCTTGCCTTTTGGAGCAACCTTCACCTTGTTCTCTGCACAAGATACACATTTCATGTGAAACTTACAGGGTTTGATGTTCAAACCCTCAACCATCTCTGGCATCTTGGCCAGTGCCTTCCAAGAGAGATGGCAAAACCTTCGATGTGCATCGTGAATGCATCCTGCATGAAGAACTTTGTTAGTTTGTGCAACACAACAAGAATCAGCATTAGACACAATAGCACCATTGTCGTCATAAGTTATACAGAACAAGCCATCCATAAACTTTGCATGCAAAATGTCCTCTTTGCCTTTTCTGATGACACAGACACTCCTCTTGAAGGAAATCTCAAAACCACGCCCAGTCAACTGCGGGACACTGAGCAAATTGTCTGCAGCACCTGGAACATACAGCACATCTTTGATGGTAGTGTGCAGACTTGCCAGTTTCACAGTCCCTTCTCCTGCAATTCGCAACGTCTTTCCGTCAGCCAGGTGGATCTCACCTTCCTGAGGCGTGAAGGAGATAAATAGATGGCGGTCCTTTGAGACATGGCGGGTACAGCCTGAATCAACAACAAACCTGGCCTTGGCTTTTGGAGCAGCCTTTGCAGCAAGCAAAACCTTGTTTTCCACCAGCGTGGGCTTTTGCAGCTTGCCCCCCTGCTCCTGGCCATCAGACTTGCCTTTAGCCTTTGGTGAGGCTGTGCCAGCAAACAAAACCTTGTTTTCCACTGGCGTGGGCTCTTCACCCTCCCTCTGCTTCTGGCCATCTGCAGGCGTCTGCCTCTGTTTACCTTTGCCTTTCCGGCCTCTGCAAAGGCGATGACCTTGGCTCCCACGAGAAACAGAGCTCTCAGCTGCCGACTCCTTGGCTCCCCTGGAGGCTGGAATGCTGCCTGGGATGACGTGACAGTCAGCTCCCCCTGCAGCTTGCAACCGGTGCCCTCAGCATCCCTGCATTCACTCGCATTCTGGGAAACAGCCAGGACCTCCGATGCAGTCAAACTCTGGGCTGGCAGATGGGCTATCTTCAAAGCATGCCACATCTTTCGTGCAGTCAGATTGCCAGCTAGCGTTTTTATTTCCTCCAGAGAGACGGACAAGACGATTATGTCTATCGCCCTCAAATTTTCGGACTCCCATCTTTCTGTCAGAGGAACTGGAGGGGCCTCACACACAGTATGCCACACTCCAAACTGACGCAGCAAGCTCTACACCACACAGCCCAGGTCCCATAATTGTGCCGATTCAACTTTGGGCACGCAGCAGCCTCAGAAGCCTGGAAAAACTCCATTCCAGGTTTCTACTTGAGCCGTGAATCTTTATGCCTTCAAAGACGTCGTATCTCGGCAGCTCATAAATCTTGAGGCCTTTGGCGCGGCTCCCAGATCCATTAATCTGCCAGCCGGACATCAAAGCTCTTGCCGCGGCAAACAGAAAAGCCTTACCTTCGCTTTTCCTCCACATACCTTTCAGCAGTCTGTCGCAGTCTTACTCTCCTGTAAGTGCTGTGAATCTGGGCCCATAACCTGTTGTTGGGATACTGCCTGGGTTATACAGTCCATCATGGCCCCCAAGCCGGCTGCCGGACGATCCATCGACCTCCCGTAGTCACGCAGTATCAATAATTAGCGACATGAGTTTCTAGAAGATTTCTTGCCACATTCCAGAGCTCATGCACGCTCTATCAGCAGATAATGCACAGCAAAAGTTGCACCCAGGAGAGCATTATTTACAAGTTTATTCAGCGTTGATCAGAACACAGAAAAACATGACCGACTGCTTTAGTGTCTGCGACACCAGAGAGAAAACGAAAGCAACAGAAAACATAAACATCCTATGAACAGGAAATACGCAGACTCTGACTCACAAAGCCTGCTCCCTTTTAAGGTGGAACGGAAATATCCTAACATTTACAAGCCTCCTCCTCCTCACCTTATCAGGGAGTGTCACATGTCAGAAGGAGTGCATTTGGCCCCAAACACAAGCTCCCTTCAGACCTTCTGGGAAAGTCAAGGGTGGTGGTGGTGCTGGAGTGGGTGTGCCCATAGCACATGGGGACACTGAGGGCTGGCCTGGCCTGCGTGCCTGAAATATACTCGGAGTCAAGAGTGGATTTCATGCTCTTAATTCAGTTCATAGTGGTCAGGAGGAATGGAAGTTCCCCCAGAATGTCTGCTTTATATACATTATTTACACAATGGGCCCCACGTGATTGGCTAATTCCGGGATTCTCCTGTAGGCCAATCAGGTTGCGGATTCACTTCCACCAGGAGCTGGATTGGGTGGCTCCTGTGGACCAATCAGACTGCTGCATTCTGAATCCTATTGTTCTAGGACCAATCAGACTGCTGCATTTTGGGTCCTATTCAACTCAGTACATAACAGTGCCCCCTGCTTCCTCCACTCCCCAGTTTAAGCCACACTGTTTCTTTTGAGCAGGGGTAGTAACCATGTGATGCAGAGAACCTGCGGTTTGACCGGGAAAATTAGAACACCCCCCCCCCCCAATTACACAATCAAATGTAGTCGGAAACACCGGGCAGAAGAGCACAATTAATTATTGCTTTATGCCACCCTCCCTCCCAAGAATTCAAGGCAGTGTATGTTGGGACAGTCTTCCATTGCATCCTCACAGCATCCTTGTGAGGTAGGTTTAGGCTGAGAAAGTGGAGACTGGCCCAATATCACCTAGTAGGATTTGTGGCTGAGCAGCGGATTTGAGGATGCCTTCCCAGTTTAAGTCCAGCTCTCTGAGCCGCTCTGTGCTACGTTATGCTCTCCTGAAAGGGATGCATCTTTGAGAGCATGTTATACCAAGGAAAGGAGCTGCTTCTCATTGTTTCCTGGGAACGTGTCATGGCACTGATTTTGATCTATAACTCCATTACTGGCTTGAGCCGAATATACCTCAGAGGGTACCCCACAGCTAAGTCCCAACACAATCTCTGAGATCAAAGAAGAGCGGCCTCTTTTTCTTTTCTATTAATAGTTTTTATTGTGCTTTTTAATCAGCTTTACAACAACATATGCAGGTGCCACGCCGCAAGTCCAATTTTGTAGAACGATCCAAATCCCCCTTCACTTTCTGCCCCCTGACCCCTCCAGTTCCCTTTGTGGCTCAGTATCCGGAGTGCTCCAGAACCAGTCAGCATAATAAACAGTTCTAACTATTAGCTTTAAAGAAAAAGGGAGGAAGGGAAGGATAAAGAATAGCAGAAACAGAGAAAGGAAGAAAGCAGTAAAATAAAGGGTTTCTTATTGATTTCCCATATCCCACTATGGGAAATGGTCTCACTTGGCTATAATCATGTGAGGCAGGAGACCCTCCTTGATGTTATGCAGCCATGCATGGGGAAGGGGGTATGTCTGGCACAGGGCAAGTTGCCAAAAGCATGTAGGCATGAGTGGCCTGTGTCACACTGCAGAATAAGGTCCTGTGTTTTGAAGGGCTGCCAGAGGACAGTTCTCTGTTTCTTAGTCCTTTGTTTGAGGGCTGCCTGGTCCAACCCTGCATCCACTGCAACAGTGCTGGACAGTTCAAAAGAGCCCTTGTAGATTCCTTGTTGGGTTTTGCTTTTTTAAAATCTGCATTTACAAATCTGCAAATGCTATCTAGGAATGTAGCGTTCCTGAGATCCAGTGTGAGGAAACAGCAGCCAGCATACACCATACATAGCTTGAGCCAGTTATCAGTGCAGACTGCACAGCCTGTAAAACAGAGAATACACAGAATGACCTTGCTGCTTTTTAATTAACCCAGCCACAATCCAGCCACCAATCAAGCATCCTCCCCAAATAAAACCACTTGTGCAGGTCCAAAAGTGATTTCCAGGAACCCTGACATATCCTCGGAACACTTCATTCCCAGGCAATCTTGTACATTCATGTAACTGGCCAGAAAATCATGCTTGGAAGGTTCCTTGCGTCAGTGAAGTGGCCACTTAGCTTGAATTTACGCCCATTAAATGTGCCTTTTCTACTCTGTATAGCTGGGGGTGGGGGTTTCATGGGAAAAGGTAACATTTTTCTCTGATGGCCCTAATCAGAGCATAACCTTAATAAACAAGCTAGCAGTCCATCTGTGTGATACAATGGACATTTCACCAAAGGACAGAAGGTCATGCTAGGCCCAAAATATCACACAAATAGTCTTATAGAGGAGCTATATAGAAGATGCCCCTTGGTTAAAGGAATACTGAAAGCAGGCTCCTTTAATCTAATTTCTAATGCATTTGTGGGGCAAAAAATTCTCTAGATGAATCCCCGAATGCTAAGCATGGGATCTCAGAGGCTGCTTCATTAGGTGGACTTCTTTTTTACAGGAGCTGCTTTGCATTACTCCGTATCACAAAACTGGAACTTGAATATATAGAAGGATTAAGGCAGTGAACCTGTTGCCCTCCAGATGCTGCTGGATTGCAGCTCCCATCAGCCCCAGCCAGCATGGCCCATGATCAGGCATGATGGGAGTTGTAGTCTAGCAACACCTGGAAGTTCAAAGGTTCCTCATCACTGAAATAAGATCTACCCCCTACCAATTCCTACCTTCACACATTTTTGCCTGTAGGTGGTGTGCTTTGTATTGGCGCTGCCCTCTTTGCTTTCATTTTTCTTTTGGCATATGAGTTTTGTTGATTCTCCCTTCTGCGCTTTTCCTGGATGGCTGCTGCGTCAGCTCGCTCGCTTCTCTTCATGGCACTGCTTGCCAGGCTGCTCTGATGAGGCAATGATACAGTTAGCCTATTTTAGCCTTGCGAGTGTGTCAGCAATCTAGCCTTGGGTTTGCAAAGGCCCTCTGCGATCTCAGGATGTCAGATGCAGGCATATCACAGTGCATCTGAGGGCAATTAGCTGAACTGTTCTGATGTCATTATCTCAGCTGCTCTGATGTCACAGAAGGCTTTGCAAACATGACTCCTCAGGGGCCATGGAGAAAGCTTTTTATTCTGAGCGCCAAAATTTAGGAGCAACATTAGGTTAAGTTATACAGCACTGGCATGTATTTGCTGCAAGGGCTTTCAAACCATTCCTTGACAAAGCCAGAAACATACATGACACTTTCTGCTTATAAGGGATGTGCTTGACTAGCAGTTCAAGGGGTCTGCATCATTCTTGTTGCATTCATTGATAAGACAGTGCTTCCAAAGGGGGGGGGGGAGGCAGTTCAGCATAATCCTACAGTTCTATTCAGAAGTGCCACTGAGTTCAATGGGGCTTTCTCTCAGGTACATGGTACATATAAAATCACAGCCTTTCACAAACAGTTGCATTCCTTTCCACACCCAAAGAGCTGTTGTTGTGATCATAGAGCAAGCAGATAATGGTGCTCAGAGCAGGACAAAGGACAGCAGCCATGAAGTGTGTAGAGAATGTAAGATGCTGTACTATAAAACTGATAAGAACAAACATGGATGTTTTTGCTGTTAAACAAAACCTTTTATTGAAATTTCACACCATCTAGAAGAGAAGCACGGGGCAAAATGCACACATCCTCAGATACTTCAAAATTTATCTAGCCAGAAGATGAGATGTTTAAAAATAATTTGTAAAGCCTATTTTCACAGATGGATGTCATAACAGAGTGAGTAAATGGAAGGTTACTTGAACCAATCTCACACACTATTTTGCCAGCCAAACATGTAATGTTGGCTGGTAAGTTCCTGGTTTTAGTATATTTCACAATGTTGTCCTCTGTAAATAATAATCACACGGGCTCTGCACCTATTAAACAGCTATGGAAGAGCGAGAGTAGCACATTACAAAGTACTATAAAAAGTCATAGCCACAAGAGGCCTGGCCTCTTCAAGGATTTTGTAGGCATTTCCCTTTATATTTTATTTTTAAAAGTACAGTTCTGGGATTATTATTTTTTATCCCTTGTATAATGTCAATTTTTGTGTGACGTGAGTAAAAATGTACAAGGCAAAAATGAAATAATCTCTCTCTCTCTTTTGGAAACCTGGTCATTTCTTATCCCATCAAATGATTTTACACACACACACACACACACACACACACATCTTTTTGACACTGCCATGAGTTTTTTGGGCTTTCCAAATAGGCGGGTGGCAACACGAAGAGTTGGACACGACTAAACAACTAAACAACTAAACAACTAAACAACAACAACAACAACACAGTTGTGGACCCCACCTCCACCCATTCTCCCTGGGCTCTGAAATGCAGAAGAGTAGTCAGACCAATGAAATTTGGCAAGTGGATTTCATATTTGCTCCCAGTGGTGGAAGTTCCAGACTGGGGACTGACTGCTGTTTTTCTTCAAAAGAAAAGTGATCAGTTTAAGCTTAAAATCATGGATATAGTGATGCACAGTTTGATCCTTAGGGAGTGAACTTAGGGCTGCATCCCCATCCCCTGGGTACCATTAAAAAGCCCCTGCTTGGTCATGCACAGAGAGCCTCACACCCTTTAGGCCACTCAGGATTGCTCCTTTCAAATTATGATGTGCCCATGCCATCGTTACTCATCTGTGCGCCATGGGCAAATGAATTTTACTACCACCATGGCATGTTCCCATGCTAGTTTCTGCAAAACTAGCCATGACCAATATTGTGAGAAAATCAAGAAAAAAGAATACTTAAGGTGTACTTAATCAATGCACCTACCCAACCCACTCGTAACAAAGCAGCCCATAAATGTTTTGAATGGCAGTGGGCTATGGTCAAACAGTACAATAGCAGAACGGAGAGCAGAACAAAGGCATGTGGCAAGATGTGATCCCATCTTTCTGATCTCCTGTTGCAGGCCGGCACAGGACTGCCCTTTTCTTCTGAAGTCTGCTGTCTAAAGAGCTGCTAGCCTCTGTTGCAAAAGTCCATGCGAAATGCTGTGGGGTGTTCATTGGTAACCACTGGTACCACTAACTAAGGAATTAATTCTCTACATCTTCTGCTTACGCTTCTCTTTTCTTTGTTGACTTCCCCTCCCTCTTCCCCCCATCCCCGCTGCTGTCTTGCAGTGGCAAGCCATTTCTCTGACCGTCATTGAAAAGGTTCAGATAGCGGCCGCCATCTTGGGTTCCCTCTTCCTTATCGCCAGTATCTCGTGGCTCATCTGGTCCACCTTCAGTCCTTCTGCGAAATGGCAACGGCAAGACCTGCTCTTCCAGATCTGCTATGGAATGTATGGCTTCATGGACATTGTCTGTATAGGTGGGTGACTGGATCTCAGTATGAAATGTAGTAACCATAGGCAGTGTTTTTTTCTGGGGGGCTGGACACAGGGGTACGCAAACCCCTAAACATTTTGTGAATCTTGTACTTTTGTCCATTTACTGTATTTATTTTTCCAGATTTGAACTATAAAATTGTAATTTTCTTGAGTCAAATTGAGAATACCCTAAACATTTATTTTAGAAAAAAAAGCACTGACCATAGGAATTCATTTGTAAGAAGGAATTGAGAGGTAGCTTCTTTGCTTTTTTGGGTGTGTGTGTGTCCAGAATGAAGTTTTGGTGCAACTCTTTTTGGACTCAACAGTATTGGTCCTGGTGGGCTTTTCAGAAGCATCCAAAGTTATCCTGTTTCATATGTAGCATCGTAGCTGAAGTAGACTCAGTCACTAGTCGGATCCAGTAGGACAGCTCCTGTCCTTTGACCATTGTGGGTCATCTAAGAAATTCCCCCAGACAAAGACATATTTACGGTAAATCTCTGCAGTCAGTGGTGTCCAAACTTTTTTCAAAGAGGGCCAGATTTGATGAAGTGAAGGTCCGTGAGGGCTGCCCAAAGGCTTTTTTTAGGATTTAAGTTGTTGAGGTTTTCTTAGGATTTTACCCCAGGAAATAAACTGCCATGGGGGGGGCGGATTAAACCAACCGGTGGGCCAGATTACACCCCCGAAATGGACTTTGGACATGCTTGGTTTAGGCCCAACGTGGATATCCCCAGTGCCTTGCTAAAGATAACTGTTGATAACTATTTTGAATCTGATTCTTTGGAATTTATCATAACTGTTGATGTGATAAATTCCAAAGAATTAGATTCAAAATAGTTAAAATGCAAATCCGTTGTATTTGCTAACTGTTATGCATTAAAAATATGAGACAGAAACTTACTTTGTAGGTTTGCACATTTTGTTTTCTCAGATTATACTGTAAAATCTGATGTTTTAGATAGTGGAGTCTTGTTCAGAATTCAAACCTGCAGACCTAAGATTCATTTCAGTGACAATTTTAATGCTTTGAGAATCTGCATGTGCCAGCCCTGGTACTTGTTACCTAATTGAGGTGCTTGTCTATTCTGATCCCAAAATAATAAATTCCAGTATCCTCACACAAAAGACAGAAAAATGGGGAACTGATGAGCATAATCAGTTGGCCTTCTCCTTTTGTGGGAGGCTTGCAACAGTGCCAGCCCACTACAAAGAAGAGAGGAAAACGAAGCCATTTCTAGGCAAAAAGAAACAGCCAGAGAAAGGAATGAAATGTTTGAAATAAATAAAACTTGGAGAAGGGAGGTTGATGAGGACAAGAAGCAGGTATTCCTCCTGATTTTGAAGGGTGTGCCACAAAGTGCTTGGGGGGTAAGACAGGACATGAAGGATACGAGAGAAACTTAACTGGGAACCACTGCATGGCTGGCGGTGATTTCTGAGTCTTTCCCAAGAACATTGGAGGAGAAGCTTTCTTTAATTGACAGTGTGCCATAAATGTTCAATAATCCATGGTATGTGTGGGCATAAGGGGCAGTGAACTAGTAAAAATGAACAGGGTTTAAGTCAACAGTGGGTTTATTTGCAAGCCTTGGCATAGCTCACATGCTCTGTTGTGTAACTCTGACATTCTTACCACTCCCATTTCTGTGGTTCTCATGACCCACCACAATTGACCAACCACCACTCACCAAACATTGCCTTGTATGGAGGGCAACAGATTTTTCCACTAGTCAGCTACAAGCTGGTATCTACTCCAATCCAACCATATTGTCCACTTTTCTGTTTGGGATTTGGAGATCACCTGCTCAGAGAGCAACCATATTTAATGAACAATATCAGCTTCCCTGCCACCACACACCCTTTCCCTGCCACACCATCCCTTTTTACCCAGCTATGCAGGGGACAGGAAGAAGAAATTGTCTAAGTTCTCTTGCTTGGCTGCTGATGGGAACAGAGAACAGGTGGGTGGCTTGCAGTTGCCAGTAAGTAACATGATTAACATGGCTTTGGTAAAGCAGAAATTGTTGGCAGCAGCTGGAGCGCTCATCTGTCAGTGGAAGATAAGTATTCTATTTCCGTCCATGAAATGGATGCAAAACCAAGCAAAATATGCCAGTCCTTAATGAGGGGAGTGAAGAAAATGTTATGTTTAGATGGAAATCAGAGTGTGATTTCTCAGTTTCCCTTTCATGTGATTGTTGCATTGTAAATCTGATTGTTAGCTGGATGATAAATAGATAAAGTGGTATTCAACTACGTTCTGCTCAGAGCAGATCCATTGAAATCAGTGTGCCTAACTGAGTCATGTTCATTCATTTCAATGTGTCTGCTCTGAGTAAAACTTACTTGAATACCACCTGAAGTCTTCCCCCAAACCCCGGTATATAGGTGCAGTGATAGGACAGACTTAATCTACTAAATTTCTGCTTATCGTGAAACGAAAGAGCACTGTCAGAGGAAAAAATGTGCCGGGGGAATGCATGAAACAGCAGAAAGTGTATTTTTGCATCTCTTCAAACAGCAACTTTTGCAATGAAAATAGAACCTCACAACAATTCGGCACCCTACCAGTTTGCACACAAAAAATGGGGGTGGATAGTCATGCTGCAGGGATATTGCGTTGCTTCAAGACAACAGGCTGTGTTGATGTTAACAGCTCCTCCTTCTTTGGCATGGCTTATAACTGCTAGCAAACTGGCAGCCTAGAAACCTCGGGTAAGAACCTTTTAAAATGCATATTGCCAGATGAGTTCCCATGTACCAATTCTGCAACGCAGGAGCTCGCCCCTCCTGCAAAGCACTTAAAAGGAGATGGTATCAAAAGGAAGCACAGCCAGCCCTTATGAGAAAGAGGCATTGGGAGTTTGCTCATTAGTGACAAATTAACCAGAAAGCAGGTATGTGGGGAAATGGATCGAGGCTCCCTGCAATTCATGGACGCTGCAGGCATTTTCTAGCAGGTACCTGTGACAGTCGCATAACCGTATTCCATACAGCCATCACAAAAGAGCTGAGTGTGTGTTGGGTCAGGGATGGGGAGTGGTCGGACACTGTCCTATTTTCCCAGCAGCAGAATAATGCAGCTTGAGGGCTGGGGAAATGTGATACCCCTTTGACAGAAGAGCAGTATGTGGATTTCTCACCAGCCATGGACATCAGCTGCACATTTATTGTTAAGAAAGGAAGACCCTTGCTGTTCTTATTTATTTAATCTAAAGCAACATTACTCACTTTGTAGGGCCAGAAGAAGAGGCTGTTTTTGGATGAACAGACTTGAAAGAAAACTACATAGGGAAATGACAGTTAGCACAAGACCACCCCATAACATCTGGATGCAATACAGTGGTACCTCGGGTTAAGTACTTAATTCGTTCCGGAGGTCTGTACTTAACCTGAAACTGCTCTTAACTTGATGCACCACTTTAGCTAATGCGGCCTCCTGCTGCTGCCGCGCCGCCGGAGCACAATTTCTGTTCTCATCCTGAAGCAAAGTTCTTAACCTGAAGCACTATTTCTGGGTTAACAGAGTCTGTAACCTGAAGCGTATGTAACCTGAAGCGTATGTAACCCGAGGTACCACTGTAGCGGGCTTTCGAGTTATGAATTACCATACTTATTGTGACTTGATGCCCCTTCCCCTCTCTCTCTCTGCATATTGGAGCCTAGGAAACCTAAGCCCTCTAGCACTTTAGGAGCATAGGAAGCTATCTGGTAGCAGGTCAGACTGATGGTTTGTCCATCCCAGAGCTGAGTTTCCAGGGACTCAGACAGAGAACTCTTTCCCATCCCCTGCTACCAGATACTTCTGGCTAGAGATGGAACAGGGACCATACTGGATGCAAAGGTGCTCTATGATTGAGCTGGAAAAGGGGAAGAGACCCCAAAAAAGTAAGAGGTAATTACGTTTGGAGAACCATTTTCTGTGCAAGGCATGCCATTTGTGTATGCAATACATATAGCCAGTCAAAAAAAAAAACCCCACAAAAACCAACCTTCCAAACTCACACCACTGAGCTGAGCGATGATGACAGTTTGGAAGTTCACTGCACATTCCTGCAAGCACCTGGCCATTAATTAAATGGCAATTCAGATGCAGTTGTGCGTCTGGCTGCCTGTATCAGTGGAGGCTGCAATTAAGGAAGCTTGATCTTTGCAGATTCAAGTGGCGTTCAGGGTCAGCAGGGCTGGAAACCATCCCTCATTGAACATCGGGAAGTGTCATCAGCTAATGAGAGAGGGAGGCCAGTGAGCAGCACGACTGGCCCGAAAGGGGCGCTGTGCATCACAAGACTTGATTTAACAGATGGCCCACACGGTGCTGTCACTCCATCCACCCACAGACCACCAGAGCTGCATACACAACAAGTGCGTCCCATGATTTGGTTTATTTCTTTTTGTTTTCCTGGCTGTGTCAGTTTACCTCATGCACAGTGGATGACTGAAATAGCAAAAGCAATTATGCAAATTGAGACTGAGGGCTTGGAGGTGATGGAGGGGGTGGGCTCTTGGGGAATTTGTCCCTTTACAGTGGGCAGTTTGCGTTACTGAAGTTGACACTGGCTGCAGGGTAAGTGCAGTAAACACTGCCAGTTCAGAAAGATATTTTTCCAAAACATTGGGGGTGGGAAATAGTTTTAAAGCTGGAATAAATAAATATGGAGCAAATAGGCTTTTTTTTTTATATACTCCATTACATGCCCTGATCAATTTCAATGTTTGACAGGGGATATACTGTACATAAGTTGAATAAAGGAAGATTAACGTGGCTATCGGATGGAGCAATTAGACTCCATGTTGCTGCATGGTCAACTGCAGCACATTTTGTATATGTGGTAATGTGAGCTGCTTGCCAGCCTTTACGTTTCTATATTTTTCATGCATAAATATATACACTAATGCATGCACACAGCTTCTTCATCAGATCCAGAGAGCCTTTAGCTCTTTGAAGAATCACTATTTTGCATCTGAACAGCTGGGGGGATGAAATTATAAGCAGAGTCATTCATCTGCCACTCCCTCCACCAGCTGGCAATTTTTGTAGACATCACTGTTGCCTTGGAGAAGGGTTGAAGCTCAGTGTCAGATCACGTGTTTTGCAGTGAAAGGCCCCACGTTCAATCCTTGGTCTCTCTAGGTAGGACTGTCTGAAACCTTGGAAAACTTCTGGCACCCACTGTAGATATATGAGCCAATGGTTTGACTCGGTATAGGGCAGCACTATTAAGTATAGTAATTTAATTCACTGAAATTGTAAATGCTTGTATGCATTACTATGTATTTAATTTTGGCTGGTTGGTAACTGAATTCTAGAGAGTCATTATGTGGTTGGGTAATGTTGGTCATATGGGAGGCATCTAATGAAGGAGAGACACCATTTTATGTGAAGCAAGATGACTGTGTTTTAGAATCCACTGTGAACACTGCTAAGTTGAATGGAGTGTTGGAGTCCTTCTCTGCTTGAAAGAAAGAGAGCAAAGCTGCAGGAGAAGGTAAAAATGGGAAACTCTCCTAGGAGCTACAAGGCATGGCCTAACTGAGATACAGAAGGCTGAGTGCTGAGCTCTGGAAAGAGATGAAAATACTGTTGTTTGGAAGTTGGAAGAGACTGTAAGCCCATGCTTGGATGAGCATGTGACTGTAAATATTATGTTTTAATTCATCTATAACTATTAGTTTCTGCAAGTGCATTGGTTTAATTTCCAAAGAAGGGTGTCAAGTCATATATATGATCTGAGCTTTTTAGCTGTGTTTTTGCTGCCTTTACTTCAAAAAGGACTCAGGCACTCCATTGCAAACCAGGAACTGCAGGCCTCCAGACTTTTCTGTAAGTCCGTCTGCTGACAGTCAAAGGAAGGCAGAGTTAGGCAGTCCATTCAGCAACCCCTCTGCACAATTGCAGGTAATAGAACAACAGATCAATAGCCAATTAAAACGGATATGTGGTGCTTGATCTTTTGTGGCTTGATGGGAAAGGAAATTAATGGGGGAGCTGCCTGTCGACGCTCACAATTCAGGATCTCCTGTCAGGACTAATGGCGACTTACTTTTAATGGTGCTGCCTGTTTCGACTGGGCATTGTTTAAAATGTGCCAGGCTGGAAGAACCTTTGGCACTTCCTTCTGCTATCCTTTATACGTCAAACGCAGGTAGGCAGAGAAAGAAGAGAATGATGCATACAGCAAAGATAAGAGCAACACCGAGGAAAAACCACACAAAAGCTGCATTTCTTTCTTGGACAAGACTGAATGGTGTTTATAACAACAAAACTTGTCCCAGTAGCTCTATAGCCCTCTCCATCCTAAAGCAGAAAATTGGCAGAGGCTTGTGTGGCAGTCTTGCCTTTGGCACCCCCATGCTGTCACCTGCTATACTCCTGAAAGGGCTTCAAGGATCTGAAAGAGCTTCTAAGCACATTTCGCTGAACATTTGTAGATGCATCCTCACAATCAAGAACCTTATGCTGTCAGGTTCCTGATCACAAGGAGGCAACAAGACTTGTCCAGATGAATGCACTTAGACGCAGCATTCAGACCTCCCTGCTCAGTCTGGGACAGTCAATGGTCAAGTGGGTGTCCCTGGCCCACACAGGGATGTGTAGGGGGATCCAGTCATTCCACCCTACATCGCCGAAATTGGGCCTTTGCAATTGGATTTCATTTGCCGTGCTTGCGCTTTGCCTGACATTTTCCTCTCTCATGGAGAGGGTGTCCGTTTGCATCATGCCCAAAGGTCACTAGTAATGGCCTGGTCTGAGGTCAGCTAGCATCATCCTGAGGCAAAGACCTGCCAATCATGACATACCTCTTGGAGGCACTGCTCTCCCTTTCGTCCAAGTGAGCCACTTCTACCACAAAGCCATGATTGGGTCATCCATCGGCAATCCACCACATTATATCTAGTGTTGCACCAAACATTTCCCACTTGCTGGCATTATGATGCACCGAGTGGGTGTCCAAGAATCATAGAATCGTAGAATCAGAAGGGACCCCAAGGGCCATCCAGTCCAACCCCCTGCAATGCAGGAATCTCAGCTAAAGTATCCATGACAGATGGCCATCCAATCTCTGCTTTAAAGCATCCAAGGAAGGAGAGTCCACCACCTACTGAGGGAGACCATTCCACTATTGAACAGCTCTTACTTTCAGAAAGGTTTTTTGTTTTTTTTAATGTTTAGTCAGAATCTCTTTTCTTGTAACTTGAAGCCATTGGTTCAAGTCTCATGGTGGAGTCCTTGGAGGCCTCTATCTCTCTCTCTCTCTCTCTGACTTTATAATTTCATAAATATTAATACAACAATAAGAGCTGCCATTGCTTTCAAATGCATCTTGAATGTGCTTGAGACTCACACCAAGGTTCAAAAGTCTGCTCTTCAATATATTCAATATGTAATTCAAAAAGGTAGTATGTTTTATTAAAAATCATCTCTTGTGCTTATTTATTATGTTTTTCTGCTGCACCTGTGCAGTTGAGTGAATTGATGAAACACTGCCAGAAGAGAAAAGAAAAGAAAAGCAATCTTGTTGTGATTGTATGTACAACTGTATAAATTTTAGTTTCGGGGGTAAGAAGGATTATTTCAGCAATGTGCAGGAGCAGACGTGCACATCAGTAAAACATCTCTTGATGGAATGATACATACAGTCACATCTGCAATGTCACCTGCACATTTGTGCAGTGATGTGCCTTGGTAACGTAAATCTTTAGGTTTGTGAAAGCAAATAAGTACATAAATAAATAACAGTAAATAAACAAACAAATAGTAAAATGAATTATAAGTCTCTAGCACAACAAATCCACTTAAAAAAAAAGAACTGGACCTTTCGCGGTTTGGAAGGGCATGGGGAAATGCATTGAAAAGTGTGGGTTTGATCAGTGACTAATGGAAAGATGTGTAAGAAAAGCCCCACAAGCCAATCAGAATAAATGCAAGGCAAGTGTTCATTGTTGTATAACCACCCCATAAACAAATCAGAACAAATGCTCAATAAAGGCCAGATATTGTCAGATTTGTGCTAGCAAATCTGAGTGAATGCTCAATAAGTTGGTCATCTGGAGAAGCTGTTAATTAACCATATCAAACTGGTTCCAATAATATAAGAGCTCTGTTGGATGAGGCCAAAGGTCCATCTAGTCCAGAATCGTGTTGCCTGCAGTGGGCAAGCAATATCCCTGGGCAGCCCACAAGCAAGACATGAAAGCACTGGCCTCCTACCCACTCCCACCTCCATTGGTCCTCAAAAAATGACATACTCAGTGACGTACTGCCTGAAGGTTGCATATAATCATCTTGACTAGTAGCCATTGATGGAGTCGTTCTCCTTTGATGTAGTCATTGATGTAGTCATTCTCCATTGATGTAGCCATTGATGGAGTCAGCCATTGATGGAGTCATTCTCCATGAATGTGCCTGTTGTTGTTGTTTAGTCGTTTACTCGTATCCGTCTCTTTGTGACCCCATGAACCAGAGCACGCCAGGCACTCCTGTCTTCCACTGAATGTGCCTAATTGCTGCTTAAAGCCAGTTATGACAATGAATTCCACAGTTTCCCTTCTTCTCGTCTGTCCTGAATCTGTTCCCCACTAGTTTCATCCTAGCCATTATTTTAGCCTGCTGAACCACATAAAGACGTCATACCAAGAACCAGACAGGCTAAGGGCATATTGTGATTGTGTTAGAATTAAGTTAAAGGCAGCTTTCATTTTCATTTGTTCCAGTACAGCAGAACACAACACTATAGACATTTTAATGATGGCAATCCAACACAATGCTAAGCACACTTTAGCCCTTTGATTTCAATCGGCTTTAAGCACAATTAACTTTGTTAGACTGTGACTTTCAGATTTTCATCACAATTTGTTGAGTTCTTTCCATTGAAACATGTGTATTTCAATGTTTATTGCCAATGTGTATTTCAAAGGTTAACCTACAAACTCCACCTAGTGATATTTTTCTCTTGACACTTCATACTCAGGCCCAGACACTTAATTTTTATTTTTTGAAAACCCAAACACAATGTGTTTAAACCACAGCTTTTCCTGCCAAGATACATTGAAGTGGCCTGATGGCAAATTCTGCATATTTTGTTGAGAAATGTAAATATGCACAGTTTGGAACTGACATGTATGCAGGCTTCTGGAATGGAAGGGTTTAATTACTGGCATCTTTGGTTGAAAAGTTCTCTACTTCCATACTTGAAAAGCTATTGGGCTTAATGGATCACTGATTTGATTCAGTAGAAGACATGTTCACATGTACAGTGGTACCTCTGGTTACGAACTTAATTTGTTCTGGACGTCCGTTCTTAACCTGAAACTGTTCTTAACCTGAGGTACCACTTTAGCTAATGGGGCCTCCCGCTGCCGTTGTGCCGCCATGCACGATTTCTGTTCTCATCCTGAGGTAAACTTCTTAACCCGAGGTACTACTTCTGGGTTAGTGGAGTCTGTAACCCAAAGTTTGTAACCCAAAGTTTGTCTGTAACCCAAAGTTTGTAACCCGAGGTGTTTGTAATCCGAGGTACCACTGTACTCAGTTATCCACACCTTACAATAACATGAGAGATCCACATCCCTGTTCATTTTGCTTATTTACATATTTATTTACTTTCCTCTCATAGAATATCAGGGTAGTGAAGAGAAATCCAAAAACTATTAAAAACAGTACAAAACAAGAATTAAAATGACTGGCTACTCAAGAAAAAATTAAACAATCACACAGAAAACGTTACACATCTGCATAACTCCAACTGACTCAGATTTATTTTGATGAAATCCTACAGCTTTTTGCAAATTACTCTCCGAGTCCCTCCTTGCTCTCTCCTCAGCTTTCTACAGTTGCAGATGCATTTGCATTATTTCCATCTGCCCACCCAGTCCTCTGCTTGGTTCCTTTTTAATTTTACAGCTTCCTGAGCTCAATGCTGGGAAATCAATAAGTAATTTGGATCCCAGCAACTGCCAAGGAAAACAAACTTATTTTTGCACTTATAGTAAATATTTTGAAGCACAATTTATCTAGGAAAACAGGTGTACGGTTGATGCACTGGCCCATCCATCAACATCATTTTATTAATTGCATGGGATCATAAACATTTATAATTTACAAAGCAAAACAAACAGACTTTTTTAAAAAAATCCTCTTGAATCAGCCTTCTCATTAATATTTGTGATAAGCTTTGAGGCTGAAATGAATTGAATTTTCCACATCTGACTCATGATCCGGTGAGGCAGACTCTTGAGGTCATATACTTGAACTTAAATAATTGAGGTCAGGATTCCTCACCAAACTTTTAACAGAAATGCGAGGGTGCTGGCGTTCATTCTGCAATAAACATTTGACCTTCAGCATCAATATTTGACTCCCGCGATTGATTGTTGAACTTTGGAAACAAAGGGGTCTGCCAAATTGCAGATGTACTTGAGTCCACTTGTGCAAAATGGAAGGTTGGCAGATCATATGCAAAATGGAAGGTTGGCAGATCATATGCATGTGCCCCTCTGAATCGCAGTATAAGTTGTGTTTGGCAGCTAGCATACTGTTTTTGCACTTGTCTCTTAATATTAGGTGTGGGAAAAGTTTGCGCTAAAGGCTTAAACCTGGGATGGGGCAACCTGTGACCTTTCAGATGTCACTGGAGTACAACTCCCATCATCCCTGACAAATGCTCATGTTAGCCAGGGTGAGGCAGAGCTGCAGCAATAGCAGCAGCAGTTCTGGCAGCAGAGTCCATGCCACTTAGTGGGAGGGGTGAAGCAGCAGTGTGGAGGTCAGTAGAATCAATGCAATGCTCCTACTGATGCATCCATGGAGCCCAGACCTCGTTTTTGTCTCATCTCTCCTGGTAAACAGCTGCTGGATTGTTCCAAAGGCCATCTAGTCCAGCATCTCCTCACACAATAGCCCACCAGATGTCTGAGGCAGGGGAACTGAGCCTCAACATTACATGTAGTTCTGCTCTCTTTATAGACAGACTCAGCAAATATAATTCCATAAAGAAGAAACTCCTGTGTGCTTTGGGCGCTCATTTCATCCTCACTATTTCAGGCCATTCACAGGTCACAGCTATTTGTAAGAAGGCCTGTGCTCAAGAAGGCTGGTCTAGGTGGAGATTGGTCTGATCCAGACCATACACTGTTGCTGGTCTTTTAAATCTGTTTATCATTTTAGAATGATGATGGGACTTGGAGCAGACCATTCTCCCAAATATTAACACTTTGTGTTAAGCGGCAATGAGAGCAAGAGGTGCCCCCTAGAGCTATATCAAAAAATGTTCATGGGGCATGTATACCCTCCAACACTTTGAAGCCCAAATCCAGGATGCCATCTTCCTGGACACCATCTTCCTGTTTTTTATTGTGAGAGTATGGCAGCCATTTTGGTTGCCATGATCTCACGTGGTTTTGCACCTCACCCCCTTAAAAAAACCAAACACACTTTTGGGGGGCAAGGCACTCTAAAACACATGTTTGGGAGCACCACACAAGATTGCATCCCTGAAAAAGTGTGGGGGAAATCGCATGGCAAAATCGCGTGAGATTATGGCAACCAAAATGGCCGCCATTCTCTCACAATAAAAAACGGGATGTCCCATTTTTTTCTAGGATACTTGTGGGGTATGTACGTGGAGTTGGCCGTAGGTGACTCTCAGAGGTTTGTGTGCAATGATGATGAGTCAGTGAAAAATTAATAGATTCTCTTTTTTTTCTCCTATCCACACACTCTTTTTTATTCTACAGGTCTAATAATCCATGAAGGACCCTCAGTTTACAGGATTTTTAAACGGTGGCAAGCAGTCAACCAACAGTGGAAAGTTCTGAACTATGACAAAACAAAGGACCTGGAGGATCAAAAAACAGGGACCAGGACCAACCAACGAACCTCTTCTCAGACTAACCATTCATCCTCCACTGGTGGTGCCACTAGCAACTCTGCTCCAGCCGAGAGTGTGGCTCGGGGAGCTGGCCACACCACGGGCACCTTGTCTGACCACCACTGTGCTTATACCATCTTGCATATACTCAGCCACCTGAGGCCTCACGAACAGAGAAGCTACTCTAGCACAAACAGAGAGCTCGTCATGAGAGTCACGACGGTCTGAGCTAAAGGAATTCAGGAGGCCTTAATGCAACGCGGAGTGGCAGAGGAACTCACAAGCGGAGGGGGCGCGGCGTGCCTTTCCCCCCACCCTCCACCCCCTTGTCCTCTGCAGCTGCACCAGGAGCACAATAGGCCCTTGGCCAGCCAAGATGGTGGCGGAGGCAGACACACAGCTGAGAGGCGGCTGAAGAGGTTCTGCAGTCGCTGGAAAGTACAACAAAGCAAGTGCAATACAGAACTACAAAAACTGGATTAGGGCAGAGGCCGGTGGGCTGAGGTGGGGTGGGGAGCAGAGAGGGACAGCTGCTCTTACTGCAAGGGAATGAATGGGTAAGATTTTAAACACCCACACAGACACTGAATAGGAAGGAAGCAAGGAAGCCAGAGTATTTTAAACTGTATTAACCATGGGGTTCAAGTATTTGAATGCATAAATTATTCTGTGGCCCTATGCTATTTTGTGTGGCCCCAGGGTGTTCAAGATGAAACAGCAGTCAGTTTATTGCTATTGTTATTTTATATGAGTAAAGACACTCTGCCCAGGTTTTTTTAAAAAACAACAACAAACAAACATGCAACAGGTACAAATTCCTGATTTAGCTCCCTCCTCAAACACTACAATTTTTCAATGTTTTTGAGGGGAGGGCCAAATCCATTTGAGCCACAAACATTTGTAGGAATCAATGTCCAAAGCACAAGGTGGATGATTTATGCCAGCCTGCTTTTTTTAGACTACAGCTCCCACCAGCCCCAATCAGTGCATCTGTGCTAGCTAGGGCTGATGGGAATTGTAGTCCAAAACATCTGGAGGGCACTAGGTAGGGGAAGATTTATGACATTTACCACTGAAAGAATTATTTGTGTGTTTTATTTGCAGATTTTTCAAAATGGGATTGTCCCCTACTGAATACCCTACTTGGCTTTTCCACCTCATTCTCCAGCACCTCTGTATCAGTGATTTCTCATAAACCCCTGTGATTTTCCTGCTTTTAAATTTACTTCCTGTAATCTAGCTGCTCCTGGAAACAATCTCATCCACTTAGTTCAGGCATCCCCAACCTGCCGCCCTCAATATGTTTTGGCCTACAACTCCCATGATCCCTAGCTAACAGGACCAGTGGTCAGGGATGATGGGAATTGTAGTCCAAAACATCTGGAGGGCCGAAGGTTGAGGATACCTGTCTTAGGTATTAAGCCACAAAACTTTGCACTCAAAAAAGAAATGGAAGTCCCAAGTCTAATCCACACTGTGGATTTAGGCTCCAATCCTATGCACATCTTTCCGGAAATAAGTCCCATTGAACACAGGGGGACTAACTTCTCAGAAACATGTATGGGAGGAGCGCACTGTAAAACTGGTTGAATGGGTCCCTCTCTGCAAGGAACACTGGGAATTCTAGCAGTATGAGTTACACTAGAAATTGCTAAGAGAGACCTCATCACCCTGACCAAACAATTAACAGGATTCTTTGGGAGAAGCCGCCATAATCACACTGGTATATTTGCCGGGTACCCGCTGAATAAATTTGAGAATACCGGTACACTCCCTTCTCCACAGGTACTTCCACAAGTAACACTAAATGCTGAAGTATCCCGGGTGAAGCTGCCTTATCTTACAGTGGATTATCATTATTGTCGCTGTTATTTTTCGATCCACACAAATTGGCATATTCACCAGATTTGTGTACACTGAAGCAAATCTTTGAATGCTTGACATCTACCTAGATTATGAGTCACCACAGCCTGAACACATCAGTAAAGCAGGGGTTGAATCAGGACGTGATGAATCACAATCTGGATACATGCAGAAGACCAGTTCAGCACCTGAATTCACCTGAATAATCAGCATGATTTCAGCTTGGGTTTTTTAAATATATATATATGTCCCAAGATTGTGCCCCTGCAGGAACCAAGGAAGCATAGGAGCCAACTCCCAGCAGCCGAGGTCCCTGTGCCCCCCAAAAAACTATTTGAGGGAATGACACACTTAAAGGAGCTTGGCACAAAGTATTCCTTCATTGTTTCCTGTCTCATGGCCACTTTAGATGGTACTTGCTGCCACAAAAGTCCTGATTGTCCATGTTGGACATCATGGACCCTTAATACAATGCACCTTAGGCCATTCTCATCCCCCATTGTGGTGTCCCATATGAAGCCAACCCTGGCGTATCCCTTGGGGTCTGGCCTGCACAGGTTCCATGTATAGAGTAAGGAGCAATGGAATAGTCTCAGTTCCACTTCTGTTTCACAAGGACCAGTACAGTACCATCCAAACACAGACATCAGCCTGCAAACCTGGCTCACATCCTGGGAACCGTCATTTGTTGAGGATGCTGGAAACTTTAGCTCTGTGAGGGGTCTCCAAATAACTCTCAGCACCCTGTTCTGGGGTTCTTTGGTAGAGGGGACCATGATTGTTAAAGTTGTATGAGAGTGCTTGAAATGTGTGGGTGTGATCCTCGTCATTCTCACCAGGTCAGTTGTAGGAACTCAGCAGTACATGGGATCAGTGTTTTCTGGATGTACCATCCGTTTTTCAGGAAACTTATCTTTCTAAGCACAATTGGTGACTCATCTGATACGTATGAGGGATGCTGCCCAGAGAGGACACCTTAAAGCTACTTTAGTTGGGAATATTTGCTTCCAAAGTGGAAAATCGAAACGTATTCATTCACCTTTTGACTTTTCCTTTCCCACCAGTCCTCACCCTCTTCATTATACTACCACTCCTCCTGAGGTCCCCACTTCTGCCAGGAGAGAAAAAAGCCACTCACCCATTGCTGATTTGCATATGTTTAATTGACTAACTCATTAAGCATATGGAGGTTGAGCACTGCCTAGAAAGCCTATAAGTTGTTAAGACCTTAATATTCCAGGTGAATAACAGTTACAGGTAGGGCAACAGTGAGCATCAGTGGCAGCAGGCTCTGTGTATTTATCAGCCACAAAAGCTACGGCCAGGGTTTTATTTTATTTTTTGACTAATATTTCTTACCCACCTTTCGCCTCAAGGTCCCAGGGTTGGTTACATGAACTAAAACAAAATCACCATGATAATACATAAGCATAAACACATAAAACAATAACAATAAAAGCACAAAATGCTTAATGATACAGGAAGGACAACTAAAAAAACACCTATACCACACTTCCAAAGATCAAGGTAAACAGGTGCTACTCTGAGTTCCATCCCTTTACCACTGGGAAAGGGAACCTGTTGCCTTCCAGGTGCTGTTGGCCTTTGGCTCCCATCATCCCTTGCCACAAGTTCCACATCCCTGACTTGAGTCAATAGAGATGTGACATAGGCTAAATGAAGAATGTTTTGGAGTTGAATGTGCAGCAGAGAGCCATAAACAATTTTATAAATTTATAAATGTTATATGCATTTTTCACTGCCAACTCTGCATCCTTGCATGATGCTTCTACTGATTCATTATCTCTTTCAGTCACTTTAAACCCTCTGGACATTAACTTGGGCAAAATGTAGGGAAATTAAAATGACACCCCCCCCCCAAAAAAAAACCTCTTACACCATCAGGATGCCAAAAGGAGAGAAAAAACCCAATTCAGATCTGTGACCTACTGCTGATGATAATAATAATTTTAAAAATGTATTCTTGACCACAAAAAAATCAGGAAATTTTGCTGAGAAGTTTTAGCCCAATATCAACAGAACTACTACCTACCTAAATCCACTGAAAACATTGATTCAGTAATGGGTATCACACAACAGCTTGTTGGGGGAGATATGAGCTTCTCCACCTCAGAACAATTTAGGACAGTTTGTACATCTCAGAAGGAAGTGAAATTTTGCTTCTTCCCTAATAAATGAAATATGGACAACTATACAGAGTATGTGTGACTAGTGCTAATTAATTTATTGACAATATTGGAAAGGCTTTATTCATTGGAATTTCCTCCCATACAGTTTTGCTCCATTTTAGTCCCATCCAGAAAGCACAACATCAGCCAAGATGCCCATGTTTAATTTACTTGAACCACTGGGGCAAAAAAACCCCACCCCTAAATATGAGAGCGATAGATTATTGTATCTTAACAGTAACTCAGAACAGCTGCTATCATTTAGAAACCAAGGCAGAATCCTGATTTTGAAATGAAAAAGGGGGCAGGTGAGTGAAGATGGAGTCCAGACCCTTCTCTCCCTGCCCCATGGCAGCCTCTCTCCTCTCAGCTGGGCTCAGTTCTGACACGGGAACCTAACTAAGGGGAAAGTACCTGGAACAGAGGCTGTAGGGAGTTATGCTGTGAGGGTGCCCCTTATCCACACTTTCTGCTTTCTGTTGAAAACCAGACTCTCTACCCCACCAGCTTCTATCATGATTGCAACAGATCTGACTTTAAAGGTACAAATCAGCCTCCAATCACATCTCATTTGAGCCTTGAGTTTGACACAGGAGAGAACAATGCAGACTGGGCTGTCAACAGTTGTCTTTGTCTCACAACTGGAGAGGCTCAGTTTCCTTTTTGACTGAGGGAAGTGTGCAGCCAGTTACATAGTTTGAACACGACTGCCCTAAGGGAATAGGAAGCAACCCATATTTGGGGTTTCTTGTGTTCTGATGGGTATTCCCTTTGAATAGGGAAAGTGCAAAGGGGGGGAAGGCAAGGGTTTTATTATGCAGTGCATAGTTCCAATCATTGGCGTCATGTAGAATCAGCCTTGAATTGTCCTGACATCTTGGAAATGGCATAGTCTACAAAAAGCTAATTGGCATAATTGGAACTGCTCGTCATTGACCTGGTATGTGGCATGACTGCAGACCAACGAAAACATTTTACAGGGAGTGTGGAAGGTACTGTCGATGAGCCCCACAGTTTGTCACCGAAGACAGATTCAACATCTGTCAGGGATGCACAGGACTGGTGGCTTCTGCCTGTCTCAATCCCACACTGCTCTTAACATTAAATGTGGTTGCATGCATCTCCCCTTCTGTGTTTCTTTGCTTGGTTTTAAGGAAAAACAGTCCCAGGTAGTGACCATTCTGTGTGGAGCTGTAGCAGAAGCCTGTGTAGCTCTTTCCCTTTAAAATGTTGCCCTCCTGCTTCACACACACAACCCCCTGATAGGGTTAAGAAGGACTCCTTGGAATAAGAAGTTGTGTTGGGTAGGGTTCAGAATCAGACATGAAGCACATGGATGCTGGAATAAGCACTAAGGCCACTGGGTGGCTATCCTGTCACCATCATTTAAAGCTGCCCACCACATTACACACATTTTTATATGAATCAGATTCCAGATTCCATCCTACAAGCAGTCGGGTTGTTGTTTTTTAGCTGGAAGATAATCATCCTCATGGCTGTAAGCACCCATTAGATGTAATATGAAGCTGGGTACCCTTCACATTGTATGGGGTGGGGGGCAACATATCCCTGAAGCTCGCAGACTGAAGAAGCCATAAGAACATCTTGTGATGGGAAGAAGCAGCAGGAGTTAATTGCAGATTCAGAGGTTTTTCCCCCTTGGCTTCATTTCAATAGGGATTTTCTTTGTAGCCTTGAGCATGTTTCCTACTCTTGGGAGCAGGGAGGGGGTGATGATACTCTAACTACCTCATGGGGCACTGTGAGAATCAGTGGTGAAGCACATCCGTTCCTGACAATGAATGGCACTCTGTGCTCCCCTTCACAAAAAGAAAGAATCTGGTTTCCTCAGCAAGTTTTGGTGCAGCATGAGCAGGAGGAATGGAGAGCCTCTTGAATTGAATCCTGTCAGAAGTTCTTCCCAGGGTGCAACTAGGCATGCTACCTAGTGGATACCACAGTGTCTTTCTGGGCTACAAGCTTTGTTATAATATGTATGTGTGCATGTTTTCCATAAGGCATAAAGCGTCTGTCTCCAGTTACCACGCGTCTCCCCGTTTCTATGCCACCTAACAGGACTCCTCTTGTACAAGCCTCTAATCCTTTTTCCTTGACAAGTTGATGTGGGTAGGGGTGGAATCTTGTTTCAGAGCGTCTGAAGAAACTGTTGAGGCTTTAAGGGTGGCCAGAGAGAGAGAGAACCAAACACTTTCCTTAAAATGAGTTAAGACCTTTAAAAATCGGTACCTCAGTTGTGTTCTCCAAAGTGTTGTAGTGCTGCTCTCTCAAAGTCTTTCCCCATATATTGACCTTTCTGGTCTGGTACAGTGGCTGTCCCCAGGTACTGCGTGTCAGGATCCTACGTGCCGTTTACAGATTTGTTCCTCCACAAAGTCGCTTTTGCAGCCATGGGTTCCAAAGCTGCAGACTAAGAGAGGTTGCAAGTTTATTCTCAGCATGCATGGTGGTGGCATTAATAGTGGTGCTCTCCAGCACACACTCAAACTTACACCCTCCTCCCCCTTTATTTCCCCCCTTCTTTTTCCTAATGAACAGAATATTACTAAGCAAAAAATCAAATACATTGGGTGGGATTGACCTAACAAACCCTTACCCTGCTCTCCCCCTGTCCACATGCCCTCTCCAAATAGCTCAAGGGGGTGGTGGTCAGAAGAACGCCCAAAACAGCATGCAGGAGATGGGAGATTGTTCCGTCTGGCAATGTGGAATGCTTCCACAGAGGGCGCATTTGTAACAGCACAACCAATTATTTTCCTCCTTCCTCCCTTAAAGTAGCATGGGGGAGGCAGAATGCATATTACGGATCAAGGCAAGAGACAATATGATTTAGCCAAAACAAAGAAATTTCCTACTGAATGTTCATCTCCTTTCTCTCATATCTCCCTTCTTGCTTTGACAGTTCTCCTGCGTTGCCTTTAATTTGCATCTTTAAAAAACAAAACAAAAAACAAATAAAAGGATTATTTCTTCTTTTTCACTTTCACAACTTCTTATGAAACGGTCAAGTTTTCTTCAGCTGGCTTACGGTTGACCAAAAAGCAAGAACTCACTTCTGTGGAAGGAAGAAAACTATTTCTTTGTACTGTGCATCTCCCAGTTGTTATACTTGGTGCAATTAAAGAAACAGAAGGGGCAGGTTACAGGGGTAAATGGCCAACTTGTGGCTACAGGGGTAAGTGACAAAGTTGTGGCCAGCTGTTGCCGGACTCCCGCTCCCTTCATCCCTGTACATTGTTCATGCTGACAGAAGGGGCTGGTGGCAGCTGGAGTCCCAACAACATCCATTGGACCACAGATTCTGCACCGCTGGGGTGGAAGATAGGTAAACTCTTCTCTCCAAGGCAATCCTAGCTAAATATCTATAACAAACCAAAAGAAGGAATCATTATCATCATCATCATGTCTGACTATTAAATGCAACAACATAAAATAAAAAGGTCAAGGTAAATTTAATGGCTGTGATGGACATAAATATATTAACAAAATTTATTACATAGAAAAAAATGAAACTTTTAATAAAGAAAAGAGTGCAAAAATCCCCAAAACTGAATACCAGATGTACAAAATCCATAATACAATAACTGGAATGGGTAAATCCATAAACAAAACAAGTATCAAAATAATATCCACAATATATGAAGGTCCCTTGCACTTCTTGTTATTCATATTACTGCATGTTTCTTCATAGGTTGTGTACTATTTTGATACATGTTTTGTACAGTGGTACCTCGGGTTAAGAACTTAATTCGTTCTGGAGGTCTGTCCTTAACCTGACACTGTTCTTAACCTGAAGCACCACTTTAGCTAATGGGGCCTCCTGCTGCCACCGCGCCGCTGCTACACAATTTCTGTTCTCATCCTGAAGCAAAGTTCTTAACCTGAGGTAATATTTCTGGGTTAGCGGAGTCTGTAACCTGAAGCGTATGTAACCCAAGGTACCACTGTATATGGATTCATCCATTCTAGTTATTGTATTATAGATTTTATACAGTGGTACCTCTGGTTAAGAATTTAATTCGTTCTGGAGGTCTGTTCTTAACCTGAAACTGTTCTTAACCTGAGGTACCACTTTAGCTAATGGGGCCTCCCACTGCCGCCATGCCACCGCCACACGATTTCTGTTCTCATCCTGAGGTACTACTTCCGGGTTAGCAGAGTCTGTAACCCGAAGTGTTTGCAACCCGAGGTGTTTGTAACCCAAGGTACCACTGTACATCTGATATTCAGCTTTTTTTTTTTTTAATCTTGCCCTTTCTTTGCTACAAGAGTTTATCTTTTTTGTAATAAATGTTGTCATTCTATTTATAGGCATCACAGCCATTAGATTCTGTATAAAGAGACTGGTGATTAAGTTCATTTATGTTAGTTACCCTTGAGGTTTTTTTTATTTTATCTTACTTTGATCCCATCTAATTGCCAGGGGTTAGATTTGTTATCTTTATGCAGAGGAGTGAAAGTGAGCAGTGCTACCCCTAGATACTTTTGGACCTTAATCAAAGCCTTCCCCATCCAACAACTTCCTGGACAGAAGCTCAATATTGTTTTTATTGACACAGAAAGATGAGGAAAATTGATACCCAACTGGACAACTTCATGGTGGAACCAGCCCTAAAAATGGGGTGTATGGGTGAATGCTAGTGGATATGTTTGCTGTCTACTTGTTTACAAAAAGTTGTCTTTTTTGCCACATTAAAACAATACCAACAAAAAGGGAGAGACGATAAATTATTGAAGTGCAGGAGGGATAGACCGAGCCATATATAGATCAAAGTAAGCACAAAGATAACACTGGTCAACAACAAATTTGTTGTCTCTGTTTTTTCAGTTGATTTAGGATGAATCTGATGCGCTGAATACAAAAATCACATTGGTTTTGCTCAATCAGGTCAAGTTTTTGAGCTATGGCCACATGTTGTTTTTTTACGTTTTTGTTCACATGTATGCTTGTGTGGAGCATTTTAGGAGAAGTTGGTGGGGGTAAAATGCCATGTCGAATAATTGTTTTGATTGGAAATGATTATTTTAATGACAAGAAGTATTCAGGTCCGATAGTTCTGGGTGATTATGTCGAAAAGGGATCAGTTTGAAGTCATAAAACCTCAAAATCATCCATAAATTGGTGCGGCAAAGCATAAAGTTGCTTACCATGCTTATTTTGGTATTAAACTTGGTGACCAGGATAAAGCTTGGGCGCCACACATGGTGTGCAAGGCATGCACCGAGACTCTACGTGGGTGGACCAATGGCAAGAGGAGTCTGAACTTTGAAATTCCCATGGTTTGGAGGGAGCCAACAAACCATGTCACTGACTGCTACTTCTGCGCTGTTGATCTGACTGGGATCAACAGAAAGAACCGGAGCAGCCTCAAGTATCCTGATCTTCAATCAGCACGTCGTCCTGTAGCTCATTGTGATGAAATTCCAGTGCCTATCTTCGGAGAACTTCCTGACATTAGTGACGAAGATGCCTCCAGTGTTGAAGAAGAAGAAGTGGTTCTTGAAGATGATGCTCCACATCCATTTTCCCAAAAGGAGTTGAATGATCTAGTTCGCGACCTCAGCTTGTCAAAGGACTCTGCGAACTGTTGGCATCCAGATTGAAGGAAAAAACCTCCTCTCTGACAATGCTCGCATCAGCTTCTTCTGCAACAGGCATCAAGAGTACCTCCATTTTTTCTCGGAAGAGAAGGACTTGGTGTACTGTGCAGATATTGTGCAGCTTCTGTTCAAGCTTGGAGTGCCACAGTACGAACCCAAAGATTGGAGACTGTTCATTGACAGCAGCAAGCGATCACTGAAATGTGTTCTGCTACACAACGGCAACCAGTTTGCCTCTATACCCCTGGCTCACTCGAGTACACTGAAGGAGAACTATGAAGCGGTGAAGTATGTGCTGGAGAAAATTGGTTATGATCAGCATAAGTGGTTTATTTGTGTTGACCTGAAGATGGTGAACTTTTCTTGGGACAACAGTCTGGCTTCACCAAGTACCCATGTTTTCTGTGCATGTGGGATAGTAGGGACCGTGCTCAGCATTACATGAAGAAGGACTGGCCTGTGCGGGAGGAATTGGTGCCTTGCAAAGAAAGGAACATCCTCAACGACCCTCTGGTGGACAGAGACAGAATACTCTTCCCACCGCTGCACATCAAGCTCGGCTTAATCAAGCAGTTCACCAAGGCTCTGGACAAGGATGGTGACTGCTTCACATACTTGTGCCAGGCTTTTCCAGGATTGACCATGGAGAAGTTGAAAGCTGGCATCTTTGACGGTCCTCAGATCCATCAGCTCATCAGAGATCCAGAGTTTGGAAACTCAATGAACGAAGTGGAACTGGAAGCGTGGAAGCCATTTGTTCTGGTAGTGAAGAACTTTCTTGGCAACAATAAGGCCAGAAACTATGCAGAACTTGTCAACAACATGCTGACTGCTTTCGGAAACCTGGGCTGCAACATGAGCGTCAAGATGCACTACCTATTTTCACATATGGACTGGTTTCCTGAGAACCTGGGTTCAGTGAGTGACGAGCAGGGAGAGAGATTCCATCAGGACATGAAAGAGATGGAGACCAGGTATCAGGGTCGCTGGGACGCAGTCATGATGGCTGACTACTGTTGGACTCTGAAGAGAGACCTCCCTGCCACTGAGCTGTGAGGAAAACCTGAGCTTACAGGGTTAAACAGCTCAGGCTGTACGCCCTGCCTACTGTGGAGAGGAGGGGGGAAATGCTACGTCAGTTCCGAGAGACTAAAGTCTTTGTTCTGACTCTCTACTTTCGCTTTTGAGGAGAGAGGACGTGTTTTCACGATGCTGTTCGCTGTGATAGATAATGGATAGCCTGCTGTAAATAAAGCTGCTTTTAGCTGCTAAGAACCTGTGTGGATTTTATTTAAGCACACTGAAGAATGCACTGGAGTTTTTGCAGCTTCCTCTAGCCGCTGTTGATTTCAACTCTGCTATGCTCAGATGAGTCGGACTCTTGGAATGCCGAGACTCTTGGGGGAAGCGTGCCGGACCGGACGCTTATCTGAGCAATAAATCAATATATCCCAGAGGTTATGGAGGCAGTAATTGCAATTAGAGGAAGCCTGCTTTGATGTGCTGTGTGCTTAAGAAGGCTGGAAAACTGAGAAGCTGTTGTTTTGCTGCCGGAATGCAAAAGTCCTGCTTTGAGGCTTTGCCTGGGAGAAAGCAGGAAAGCTGGATGCAAAGCTGTGTGCTGCAAAGCTGAATGCAAGCTGTGTGCTGCAAGGAGCCACTGGAGGCCTCTCCTTTAAAGCTGGCTGGTACGCGTGAGTACTTCATCACCCCGATGGGCGTACTGGGGGAGGAGATGGCTGAGCTCCAGGACTTTTATGATGTCCCGTTTGAAAAGCTCACAACCCAGTCCTGGGATATCTGGGTTAGAAGAGTCAGGGGGTGGTTTTTGGCCACAGGGTTCTGGGATATAACCCAGAAGGAGCCCGCCCCACCCATGCCAGTTGCTGCTGAAGAAGGAGGAGCAGAATGGGAGGCTGCTCTCCTGGAAGATAGAGAGCTGAGAATGCAAAGGGAGCTCTGCATGTTGAGAGCAAGCGTGGACGCTATGCTGTTGCCCCACCTGGAGGGCGTTGAGTCGGCTCAGGCCGCCTGGCAGGTGCTGAGGAGTCTGTGTGATAGCTCAGCAGGAGCCCAGGGCCGGGAGAAAGCCGAGAGCAGGCAGGAAGCTGAGAGCCCAGAGGGGGCTGCTGGCCATGTTCCTGAAGTTACAGCTGGGAGTAGCTGCTTTGTCTCCGAGGGGCCGTGTGATGTTGAGGCCTACAACCAGAGTGCTGGGGAGCGTGCAGGCCCAGGCTGTGCACCCAAAGGTGGGGGTGCAGGGAACAAAGGAATGGCTGAAGAGGGAGCTGTGAGAGCTGTTGCTACGCGTCGCCGCTGTTATCGCTGTGGCTCCCCTCCCATCTGGTGAGAGAATGTCCAGTGGAGGAACAGCCCAAGGCCGTCTCCCGTAGCAACCAGATAAAGAGCTCGTCTTCAAAGCGTGGGAAAGGCAAGCCGAAGGCAGCTGGCAGAGACACTGAACGTAAACATTTGGCTGCCTCTATGGCTGTAGTCAAAAGTTGTCAACAGGATGCTGAGCTGGCTTTTGTTATCGACTCAGGATCATCGCATCATCTTGTGCCATCTAGTGGATTCCTGGAGAACTGCACCTCTGTAAAAACTGGGAAGACTGTCTGTTTAGCAGATGGGACTCGACACCCACTCACGCAGAGTGGCTTACTGTTTTGTTCTTTCTTGCAGGACACAATCCAGGCTTTTGTTGTTCCAGGACTGTCCTGCGCGTTGCTGTCTGTCAGTGCACTTCTTGCTGAAAACTACAGAGTGTGTTTTGAGAACAATAAGTGTTCTATTTCCAAGAATGGACAGCACCTAGTCAGTGTTGAATGCAAAGACAGGTTGTTTGTGATAAATGCTTCTTTTGCAGGTCCAGATGACACGGATGACACGGAGGAGGCTCAAGCGCAGTGTGCCAATGTTCCAGTTCATGATGCGTGTCAACATCTCTGGCACAGACGTATGGGACACGTTTCGTGGGGGTCGGTGAGAAGGATCCCAGAGTATACGCAAGGGTGCAAAATGAAATCATGTGCTAAGTTTCTAGATTGCAGAGCGTGCAAGTCCGCAAAGGTGAAAACGTGCACATACCCAAGGTCTGAGAGGGTGACCACCAGGGCTTTTCAATTAATTCATGCAGATTTGTGTGGTCCGTTTTCTGTGAGCAGTTTGGGCGGAGCCAAATATTCGCTGGTTCTGATTGATGACCATACTAGGAATTCTTGGAGTTTTTTGCTTCGGCGCAAAGATGAAGCTGCGCCGCTAATCAAAGACTGGATTGCGGCTGTGGAACTGCAGTTTTCCACACGGGTGCAAAACTTTCAGAGCGATCGCGGTGGGGAGTTCACCGGGTCTGCACTGCAAAGTTTCTTCCGCAAAAGGGGATTCAACACAGGTTGACTTCTCCATACAGTCCCCAACAGAATGGGATCGCGGAACGCAGGAATAGGACTCTAGGGGAGATGTCCGCAGCTCTTTTGTTTGATGCCGGGCTCCCACAGCGCTTTTGGGGGGAGGCTTGGCGAACGGCCAACTTTGTTCTGAACAGGTCGTTCAATTCAGTGGTAGGTGACACACCGTATTTCTTGCTCCATGGCGAGAAACCGAAAGTGCACTACTTCCGCGTTTTTGGCTGTGAGGCTTGGGTCCTCATACCAAAGGCCAAACGCAAGAAAGGTGAACCCAGGTCCCAGAAGATGATTTTCTGTGGGTATGAGCCAGGGACCAAGGGGTGGAGGTTTGCTTATCCGTCAGGGAATCAGTCCAGGATTCTGCTCAGCAACAGTGCTGAATTCTGTGAGCAGAGTGGCTGGGCAAGGATACATGGGAACCCTGACATCCTGTCAGAGAGTCTGCTAGACTCTGCTGATGAAGGAGAGGAAGAGGTTGAACCTGCTACTGAGGCTCAGAGTCCAGGCCCAGTGCAGGCAGAGGGGAGAACTTCTCCCAAGGCTGTGAAGAGTGAGCAACGCAGTGCTCCATCTTCCCCACAGGTTCGGCTGAGAAGTCCAGAAGGCGCAGTAAGTCAGAGGGGAGCTCTCTGATGCCAAGGACGTTCTGGCTGGCCCTAGTGGGTCAGAGGGGGTTCCTGAAGTAGTGCTGCGCCGTTCAACGCGGACGACCAAGGGGAAACCTCCTGAAAGGTTTGCCGTCACTAGTGTGTGGGTCGGAATGGCACAGTGTGAACCCGAGAGTTTTGAGGATGTTCAGAAACTGCCTCAAGAAGAAGCCAGGAAATGGCATGAGGCGATGCAGAAGGAGATGAACTCAATGGAGTCTCTAGGTGTGTTCTCCCTCACGAAGTTGCCGGTGGGTGAAAAGGCAGTGGGTAGCCGCTGGGTTTACCGTCTTAAGCCCACAGCGGCAGGAGAACCGCAGTATAAGGCCAGATTAGTGGCGAGAGGATTCACGCAGCGGAGGGAGTTGCATTATACGGAGAGTTATGCGCCCACGTGTAGGAGTGAGTCTCTACGCTTGGTCTTGGCCATCGCTGCACAAAGAGGTTTGCTGGTGCATCACTTTGATGTGGATGTTGCTTACTTGAACTCAGACCTCCAGGAGGATCTGTACATGCTTCCTCCTCCTGGGTTTGAGGGCAATGAGCGAGGTACTGTGTGGAAACTTCACAAGTCAATTTACGGCCTGAAGCAGTCGGCCAGGAATTGGAACTTGTGCCTGAATGAAGCTTTGGAGAAGCTAGGTTTCAGGAAGAGTCTTGCTGACAGTTGCCTGTTCCTTAGAGGATCAGGAGACTCACAGGAACTGGTGTTGTTTTACGTTGATGACATCATCCATGTTGGAAAGGCAGACAAACAGGTGCAGAAGTTTGCCAAAGAGCTTGGGAAACGGTTTCAGCTCAAGGACCTGGGTGCAGTAAAGATCTACCTAGGCGTCCAGATAGCGAGAACTGAGGATGGTAGCTTCTTGCTCAGTCAGAAAGGCAAGATTGAGCAGTTGCTGGAGAAGTTCAGAATGTCCGATTGTGCAGGAGTTCGGACACCCATGGAGACGAACTTCGTGAAAGATAGCCAGCAAGCAGAGAGTGCTGAGTTTGAGAATGCTGAGCTCTTTCAGTCAGCTCTAGGTAGTCTGTTGTATCTGTCCCAATGGAGCAGACCAGACATTGCCTTTGCTACCAACCTGCTAAGTAGGGAAGCGTCAAAGCCCAGTGTGAGTGCTTGGCACGGTATCAAGCGGGTACTGCGCTACCTGCAGCATACCAAAGACTTCTGTCTTAAGCTGCCAGCTGAAGGTGAGGCGAAGCTCACATGCTATGCGGACAGTGACTGGGCGAATTCGCAGGACCGCAAGTCTGTGTCTGGGTTGGTGATAAAGTTTGGGAAGTCACTGGTTGGGTGGAAGTCCCGGAAGCAAAGTCTCATTGCGCTGTCTTCTACTGAGGCTGAATTCAGTGCACTGTCAGACTTGTGCCGAGAACTAGAGTTCTATAGATGCTTGGTGCAAGAGATCTATGGGGATTGTAGCTTGCCCATCACGGTTTGGGAAGACAATCAGCCTTGTTTGAAGTTGGCTGAATCTGCGCAATTTAAAGCGAGAACCAAGCATCTGGACATACGTTTCCGAAATGTGTGTCAGAGTGTTCAGTCAGGTTTGATACGACTGAAGTACTGTGCCAGTCACAGTAACCTGGCCGATGGATTTACCAAACCTTTAAGCTTCCAGCGTCATGGGGAGTTTTGTGGTGGTTTGGAGTTGGGGGTAAGTTCTGTACTTACTTTCCCCACAGTAGCGCAGGGCGAGAGGGGGTGTGAGGAAAACCTGAGCTTACAGGGTTAAACAGCTCAGGCTGTACGCCCTGCCTACTGTGGAGAGGAGGGGGGAAATGCTACGTCAGTTCCGAGAGACTAAAGTCTTTGTTCTGTCTCTCTACTTTCGCTTTTGAGGAGAGAGGACGTGTTTTCACGATGCTGTTCGCTGTGATAGATAATGGATAGCCTGCTGTAAATAAAGCTGCTTTTAGCTGCTAAGAACCTGTGTGGATTTTATTTAAGCACACTGAAGAATGCACTGGAGTTTTTGCAGCTTCCTCTAGCCGCTGTTGATTTCAACTCTGCTATGCTCAGATGAGTCGGACTCTTGGAATGCCGAGACTCTTGGGGGAAGCGTGCCGGACCGGACGCTTATCTGAGCAATAAATCAATATATCCCAGAGTTCCAAGAAATGGAAGTTCAAGCCCTGAAGTTTGAAAAATGGTGAAGCAACATGCAATTTACGTGTACTTACCTTTATCAATGCCCACCATTCATTTTACAGTAATCAATGCTTCTATCAGGTAATCAATATATGTTGTTGGAAAAACATTATTTTCTCTTTAAAACATATTTAGGATGATATGTGTTGACAAAAATCAGCTGATAATGCTACAAAAATGTAATCGATTTTGTCACAAGATCTGATTTTTTTTCAAATCAACATAGCACAAAAACCTGACCTGATGGAGAGAAACGGATGCCATTTCCTGATTCAGCAGTGCAAAAATACCCTAAAGCATTTGGAGAAATCTAGACAACATTCAAAAAGTAAAAAATTGTTGCCCAGTGTAATTGAAGCACAAATATCTGGAGTGACAAAGGACTCGGGTTTTGTTGCGAATGGTTGGTGGGCAGCCAAGTCTGAGAACAAAATGGAGATTCATTTCTACATCCTTTTGCCGGGTAATAAGATCCTGTGTAACTGGTTTTCTGAGGAATTTTGTTAAGGAAATAAAAGATTGTCATTTATAACAAAACACAATAAAAAAGATTCAAAGCAGTAAAAGGAGTGCTTTGGCTGCTTCCAGACTGTTGCTGTTTTGTTGGTGGGATTCAGAAGCACACCAGCAAATTCAGGTTGCACAATTAAAGTGGTTTTGGAGCTCTCATGCAACATAAACACTTTAAAAAAAAGATTATTTGCAATAAGGAAAATGATGAAATGATGGGGAGATGCACTGGAAAGTGTGGAATACCAATCATTTGATTGGTCTGCAAGGTCCACAAACAAATCAGAATGAAAGCTGAATAAGCAGACTGTGTTGCCCAAGCTCCTATTGTGCAAACCAGTCAGGATGAATGCTCAATAAACAAGTTGTCTTGAACTGACCAAAGCATCAAATGGGCAGCAGACAGGGAGGTGGAGAGAATGCAAAGACAGAAATTCATTCCCCTTCTTTTTTCATCAGATGTCAGGAAATTTAAAGAAAAAGTAGCCCACCAACTACCGCAGAACTTTTGGGAAACTGAAACAGCCACCAATTTATCAGAGTGCCAATCTTCAGAAATGAGATTAATTAGAAGGAAAGTGAATATATTTGGCAGCTTCTTGCTGGCAATTTGTGGCAGTTGCTTTTGACACTTCCATATGAGTCACAATCCATCCTGGCTGCTGGGCCTGCTGAATGCAAGCAACAGTTGTCTATGTAGCAAAACAGACTTCAAAATTTTCCGCTGTGTGGCCAAGACTGGTTTTCAACATGTGTTGAAGCACAAGAGAAATGCTTTTGTCAGAAGAATGGCAACATAGCACAACATTAGTGTCCTGGGCGATGACATCATTTTGGAGTGCCTTCATTTCAACAAGGAATAGCAGTTTGCTGGGAAACAACTGTGGGAAAGGGCTTATTGTCCTCATGTGCTGCTTGTGAGCTTCCCAAAGGCATCTGGTCGGTCACTATGAGGAACAGAATGCTGGGCTAGATAAGCCCTTGGGCTGACCCAACAGGGCTCTTCTTTTGTTAACACTAACACAGCATTATATAGTTTCTTATCACTTGCAGGAGTTTGCCTATAACAGGCATAGGAAAACTCGGCCCTCCAGATGTTTTGGGACTACAACTCCCACCATCCCTAGCTAACAGGGCCAGTGGGCATGGATGATGGGAGTTGTAGTTTCAAACATCTGGAGGGCCGAGTTTGCCTATGCCTGGCCTATAAAAAAGAAGTGGAGCAAAGAAAGATGTTTATTTCCTTTTTCTTTATTAAAACAAATGATATAAACTGCTTAATTTTAAAAAGCCCTCTAAGCAGTATACTTAAAACAATGTAAAATGGTCATCAATAGCACACAGATAAACTCAGCAGATTTGTTTAAAAGTGTACATGCAGAATACCTGACTGAGGTTGATCCCACTGAGATTATGGATTTGCCAACCTGGCCCCAGGTGTTTTGGACTACAACTCCCATCTGGGCTGGCTGGGCCTCATGGGAATTGAAGTTCAAAACATCTGGAAGACAGATTAGCAAAGGCTGGATTAGATGCTGTACACAAACAGCTGCCTAGTCCAAACACTGCCACATTCTTCGTATTTGACTCTAGCATTTTCCCCAACATCGTTGAGGTTTCTGTGCACCAGCTTCCCCAGCTTACTTCATTAATGCCTACCCCCCGCCTGTTATAAATGGAGCAGATCAAGGTGAGGTCTCTAGCCTTCCAGATTTCTCACCTCTCGGGGGAGGAATGAACATTTTCCTGAACCAAAGTTCAGAGTGACACAGGAGAGATGTTTTCCTTCCCTGTCCTTGGCATAGAAACAGTTCTTACTATTATGCATTTATTGTAACAATTAATGGTATAATACTCACTAGTAACAATGGAGGGCGACCCTTTTACATCAGAAACATCTTGGATGAAAATGCCCTCTTTGCCTCACTCTGATTGCAGTGTCTGATCTGTGCTCTATTCTGCAAAACATCATCCCGATGCTACGATTTCCATCAAAGTTTTTGCAATGCACTGATACAATCAGGTGCTCTTGTTTCGCTTCCACATGTCTCCCCACCGTCACCTCTGACAAAAGCTGGTAGTGCTACATTCACAGATTAATGTGGCACTAACAGATAGAGCTCTTCCCTGCCCCCTTTCTGATAAGAGCGAGGCAGGAAGGAAAGCAATTCAGTTATGTAAGTTTGTTGCTTCAGGTGTGCAGAACCCCGTTCATGGCTTCCCCCATTGGTTCCCAAAGGATTTTTACATCATGCACATGCTAACTCTATAGTTGTTTCTTTGATGGCATTTCCAAAAGTTGCACTAAGAACACCTTCCCTGGAATTTGACACAGCTTTGTGTGGGTGGTAGGCTTGGGTGGTAAGACATCAGGATACCTCTGTGTGTTCGAGACAAACTATCTCAGATCCAGACTCAAGATTCAGCATTCTGAACTGCTGGTGGGAGGTAGAAATTTGAAGGAGAAGACTGCTGTGCTACCCTCAAGAATCAGCCTAATGGGAAAGGAGTCTCATTTCAAGACTTCATTTATGTCACTTTCCTGTCATGTTCCCACATCAAGTATGAAATAGCAAGTGCTCTTGATGGGCAGACAAAGTATTCTTGGGTGTTTGAAGGTTGTTTTCTAAAATAAAGAAAAAAGGGTGGGAGGAAAAAGTTGAAATGCTTTGTTCATTTCTCTCCCCACTCCCCGCCCGCCCTCTCTCTTGATTATTTATTCCGTGGCTTGATTATTCCCTTTCCGTGGCTATCCATGAGTCACACCACACCACGTTTTTTGCTTACAATTTGGGAGTGTTTAGTTCAAATGCACTAAACACTCCCAAATGCACTGGGACGCGGATGGCGCTGTGGGTTAAACCACAGAGCCTAGGACTGGCCGATCAGAAGGTCGGCGGTTCGAATCCCCGCGACAGGGTGAGCTCCCGTTGCTCGGTCCCAGCTCCTGCCAACCTAGCAGTTCGAAAGCCCGTCAATGTGCAAGTAGATAAATAGGTACTGCTGTGGTGGGAAGGTAAATGGCGTTTCCATGTGCTGCTCTGGTTCTCCAGAAGCAGCTTAGTCCTGCTGGCCACATGACCCAGAAGCTGTACGCCGGCTCCCTCGGCCAATAAAGCGAGATGAGCGCCACAACCCCAGAGTCGGTCACGACTGGACCTAATGGTCAGGGGTCCCTTTACCTTTACTTTAGTGCAAATGCACAGTGTAATTATGGTGGCGGCCCACAAATCGCTTTAAGAAACCATGGGGCTACTTCATACAGGACTTTTAGCTTACATACATTTATTTAATACAAAGCTGCTGTACACCAAGACCATAAACAAATATCGTCTCCTCCCGCTGATAGGGGCGCTTCACTTCAAAGGGTCAAAAAGCAGTTAATGGGTCCAGAGACTGTTTTAGAAGCAACAGTTCGAGGAAGAAAGGGTTAAGCAGCTCTCTCTCCTCACCTCCTCCATCTTTCACTCAAGATTGCCTTTAATGGCAAAAGTCAGTGTGGGCTTGCTGACTACTGTAGTTGATTTATAACCTTCTATTGTCTGTAAATATAGAGATGGATATAGATATATACTCAAAGTAATAAAGTCAGCCAACTATAAAATATATGACATTCAGAATAGCAAACATCATTCCAAAAACAACACACAGGCTTGTCCTTAAATGCAAACTGCATCAAATCTGCCCACCCCGATCCTACTCTGGCTGCTCTATGATGCCTTTTCCTACAAAGCCACAGGCCTGACGCATGAATCTAATCCCATGAGATATCCCGAAGCCATTTACAATATAACAACAAAAATGAAACAGTTAAATATATAGGAACAGTTTTAAAAACAATTTAAAATTTAAGAATAGTTTAAAACAGAAACAGCACACAATAAAATCAACCCACAATTTTAAATGTAGCTGAATCTTAATACGTAGATGGATTTTCAAGAGGACTTTTTGAAAAGAAGTTGTCTAACTGATGTGGAAATGTAGGGAGCTGAACTTAATATTGGAAAAATCAGAAACAGGGAGAAAATGAAATGGAAAAGTTCGCCCAACCCTAGTCTAGAGCAGATGCTCTGTACACACACACACACACACACACACACACACACACACGGTTCCCATGTCATTCCCTGGCACCTTATAGGACTTACTTTGCAAGTATTTTCTATCCTTAATGTAGCCTTTTTTCGTTACCCCCTTGCTTCTCCTGAAAAGGAGATTCTAAAAAGGCCCCTGGTTGGCACTCTCCCATTGTCTTATACTGGG